CCTCCCGCCCGATTCCCCTCGCCGCTTTTCGCCCCCTTTCGCCCCCGTTGCCGGCAGCACCGCCACCCCTGGGCGCCAACCTTCCCGTCGCACCCGCGCGCGCAGATGCACGTGAATTTCGGTCGACGCGCGCCGTCGATGCGCCGTCGACGGCGCAGGGCGCATCGATGCGGTCTCACCGCTTCCCGGTGATCTTAATTGACCACTCGGGATGCCCGACTGAAATTGGCATCGATTACATTATCGGCGGCCGGTTGAAAACGAGGACGGGAAAACTACGCGCCGACGCCTGTCGGCCGGCAGCGTTTCGACCATGAGCCGCGTTGAAACGCGAAAGCGGGATACGAGAAGCGAGAATTTGGAGATTACACCGTGTAATGAGGTGCAATGAGGTAATTCGAGATAATGAGAGATAATGAGAGAGAGAGAGAGAGAAAGATTCCGAAGCGAAACGAGCCGAGGCCTTAATCTCGTTTCGCGCGTCATACTCGCGGAATATTTTTAATTAACGCTGTCCGCGCACTCGGCGACGATTTAAGGCAGTAGCAGCGTTGAGCGTCGTCATTTCCAGTCAAACGGGCCACTCATAAATTTACTTATCAAGCGACACTACGTTTCTGTGCATTTATTTCACTATCTGAATAATAAATGTTAATTTGAAACGAAGAGTTGAGGTGAACGTATATACAATATTACAAGTACGAAAATATTACTTTTTATTTTTCTTATTAATGCTTATTAATGTTATTTTTGTGCGTTAGTTTATATAATAGGAATGAATGGATAATAAAAAGAGATATATAAATGTTTAAATATATGCATATGTATATCCCACTAAATATTGATAATAACATTACGTCAATGTTGTAATTTATAAATATAAAATTGTTGTAATATTACTTTTAGCTTGTGTTTACTAGGATGTATTTTGAGTTTTGCTGTAAATTATGAACTTTTCACCGCTATATTTTCGAAACAAAATAGTCAACAATTTTAAAATTTTTGCATATCTCTATGTTAATCCTTAATATCGCAGTGGTTTTTCATCAAAATCCTAAATGTGGTTTAGAAGAAATAAAAAATAGAAATTAAAAATAGGATATTAACTGCAAGAAACACGGTATAGGAAACATGTCATTTTTAATTGCGAATATCTCAGCTTCCGAATATTTATCTAATCTTTTCTAATTCCGTCAATAATTAGGTCATATTTAAATTTATATCTAGTACAAGTTTCAACGAATTCTTGAAGAACTTATGTCACTACTACTTTAATCGCGTTGATACACTGAGAAAAGTATTAATTAGTGGTAACAATTACCAAGCATTTAGTCAAATAATTTCAGCTAAATAATTTGGTTACCGCAACTATTTAATTAAATATTCGGTAATTGTTACCAAATCCTTTCTTCAGTGTGTTGCAAGCATCTTTTGCTGAAGTGCGGAGAGTGCGGCAGTTTGCGTTCGCACAACTCCACAGTTTGATCTTTCGGTAGTATCCACTAATTGGGAAACTCGAAAATTATTAATTAGAAGAAAGAATCAATGCCGATGACGTGACATCGACGAGACATTACGTGCAGGCGAGCGAGTCGGTACATGCCGTACGAAAAGTGAAGCATCAGAAATCCCGATGAATCGCCGCATCATGAACACGCGCACGATACTGTATGTGCACGTATGTAAAACAACAATTTGCGGTTCGCACGAAGAAACGTTAGGATTCGAACTGGCTACGAGAGAGAGAGAGAGAGAGAGAGAGAATGACACGGGCAAAAATAATACGTATCGATCTAACGGCTTAACTATCTTTACTGTCCCTTCAGCGACGTGGCCGTGTAATAGGATTAAAAAATTGATCTCTCTGACTATTTTTTCGAGAGAGCGCTTGAGCAACGAGCATATCTAATTAAATGTTTGACAATAGTTACTAAATCCTTTTTCAACGTATCATGGATATTAATTTTTCTTTAATTCTCGACAAAATATTTGTGTTACTTTTCAACACACTCACTTTGTTTGCGTCGAATTAACGCCGAAATTTAGGCGGACCGTTTGGTACACATATATTAAAATGTATTAAATTCGATGCGAAACTTCTTACGGTGTAGAATCGCGACGATACGCGCGATGAATGCTTAAAGTTTCGAGGGGGTGGCTCGCTCAAGGGGGTAGAACGAGGCGAGCGGAAACAGTCTAACAGGTTCCTCTCGTACACATTCCAAAGAGAAAAGAATCCATCCCCGTGGAATCAGAGAACGCTCGATCGGGAGGAAAACTCGCGCGACGGGGTGCGCGCGGGATTTCAATTCGCGGCTCCGGCGGGGATCGCGGAGATGTCGCGCGATATCGGCGAAAAATCGAAAAGCGCGTGCATTCCCGTTCATCGATCGAAGGTCGCCGGCTACTCCCGGAGCGCGGGCATGCGAGCAGCAACACACAGGCGGGCTGTACGCGCTCGCAGCGTCGCGATGCGACGTTTCTCTCGCGCACGAATGCTCAGCAACGCGGCAGCATATACGAGGCATAATCGCGCGCTCGCTCGCTCGCTCGGCCTCCGGTGGGTGTAGGCAGGCAGTAGGTAGGTAGGTAGGTAGAGCCGGCGGTCGTGTATCGGGCAGGTTCCTAGAGTCGCGTCGCAATCAATACCTCCGGTCTCTCTCTCCTCCGCCGTTCCCACCCGCGCGCGCTCTCCTCCCCGTCGCGCCGTCACTCACCCGAGAATATTTCTCCGCTCGCCACCCTGTAGCTCGCCACCCGCAAAACTCGCATCCTCCCGCGTCCTCCCTCCCCCGCCCCGTGAATCGCTCACACTCGTCGTCGTCGTCGGCGACCTAAAATTCGCTCTAATCCGCGAGAGCCGCGACACCACTTCCCGATTTTCTCCGAACTTCCATCCCCCCGTTGACCGTTGTCAACTCTGATAAGATACCGGGCGGTGATGACGTGAAATGCGGTAGGTCGGAAGGGATCCGCCTCCTCGGAAGATTCGTCTTCTCTTGTTCTTCCGCCGACACGAAGCGGCGAGCGAAGAAGACGCGAGGATGAAGAACGAGGATGATTTCGGGTTATTTTCGGGTGTATCACGGCGGACGAAACGCAGACGGTGTCGAGAGGGTGTTAACGCGCGGGCCCGGGCACCCGCGTGGAATCAAGGACGATCGGGAGGGGGTGAGTCGTCATTCAGCGCCGGCGGGCGGCTTTTCGTCGGCTGATAACGCGGGCCGGCTTATCGCCGGCGATCGATATCATCTAATCCAGTCGGGCTATTTATAGAACCCGGCCCGAGACACTTGGAGACACGCGTCGTCCACGTCGGCGCGAAAGTAACAGGATTTTCTAAATCAAGCCAGATCTCTTTTTACGGAGCGCGCGACACTTGCGGCGTTTACCGACGTTCCTCCCTCAACTTCCCCTGCGCCAATCGCCCGTTACCCTTCTTCGCATTTCATCTGCTCGCGCGGAGAACCGTCCCGACGCGCACCGAGCGACCTAGCCGTGCGTAGTCGGAGAACCGAGAAACTTCGGAAACTCCAGATCGACCAGGCGGCGCGAAAATCAGGTCGCAGGCGGATAAGACGCTGTAGGACGTACCAGGATACTTTCTCTTGTGTTCCGCGTCCACCTCGCGCGCCAATGCGAAGTACTTCTCCTTTGCGTCCTTCGGCATATTCTTCCAGCAGATGCCCAGCCTGCGGGAATAGAGAGAAGGATGCGTTTTCATTTTCAGAAGATAATCTTACACGGTGAAAATCATCTTATACTTGTGTTAAGATTGACTTTGGTAAAATTTTTGTGTTCAATTTTTAACCTGTGTTAACTTGTCCTGTTTATGTTATCTTAATATTTTGTGTTGAGTTGTCAATATTAAACTTGTGTAAATGTTAAAATTATACTTGCAAGTGTTAAAATAACATTTTGTATTTTAGCGTCGATTAATACGCACTGAAAAAAGGACAAAAATTTGGTAACGATTACAAAATATTTAATTAAATAGATTCAACTAAATAATTTGGTTGCAGTGAACTAAATCATTTAATTCATAATAGTTTCAACTAAATAATTTAGCCACAGTAACCAATCATTTAGTTATACATACTTAATTATTTAATTACATGTACTTAATTATTTAGTTAAATGTATCCTGTAACTGAATTACTTGGTTACTGCAATCGAATTATTTATTCGAAACTATTTAATTAAATGTTTGATAATTGCTACTAAATCCTTTCTCAATGTATTGTAGATATTAATATTTTACTAATTTTTGACATAATGTTTGTATTACTTTTCAACACATCCACTTTGTTTACGTTAAATTAACGCCGGAACTTGTGCGAACTATTTGGGACATGTAAAATGTATTAAATTTGATACAAAATTTTTTACTGTGTAGAATCAAAACGATCTCGTGCGAACTTCGTTCCTTCAAGTAACAATACGAATGCCTAAAGTTTCGAACGACAAGTCACGAATTCGCGAGATCTCTCGTTCGGAATTTGCTTTATATTTCGCTCGAAATCGTTTCTTCGTGCCTCGTTCCGAGATTCGCGAGCTTTTTATTCAGATTTGTCGACGAGGTGAACTCGATCCTCGAGGTAAGATCAAAGGATCAAAGGATCACGTTCGACACTAGCCTGACGCTGATGTCCTTGTTCGACTCCCGGGGATTCTCGGCGGCGATTTTCTTCCGCCAGTCGTTGGCGAAGAGCATGAAGGCGTTCGCCGGCCTCGGCGGCCTCGGCGATCGATTCACCCGCGTCCGCTGCTGCAGCGGGAAAATCTTATCCACCTCACGGTTGCCAAGCGATAGTTTCGACTCGTCGAGAATGCGCTTTTCCGCTGCGTTTTCCTTATCATCGTCATCGTCGTCGTCTCCGTCGTTGCCGTTGAGATTTTCTTCCACTGATGAACACACGGAGAAGGTAGCGTCGTCGTGTTGACCAACGTCATCGATCTCCTTTTTCACCAAACGTTTGCTGCAAGCGGCCGGTTCGGCTTCTGCGGCTGTCACCACCACGATGACTTTTCCGCCGTTCACGTCCTCGTGAATGCGCACCTTCTCCTTGCGAATCTCACTCGCTTCATCTGGCGGATAACGAGGCGTGTCACTTAGGCACGTTTCTCGCAAAAGACTATTCGCAAAATGTGCAAAATTTTTACACCGCGTTTCGGGCCATTGTCGAAATGATGAAAAATTATCGGCCACAAATTGGATCATTGTTCACCGAGAAAAAGGTTAGATTTAATATTTATACTTATTTGACTGAAATTTGTTTCATAGAAACAACATATCCGAAATATTATTCGTTTGAGTAAAAATTGTATCGTCTCATTCGAGAAAACTCTATTGTTTAACTGAAAGAACACTATTATTTGAAGTAATGTCTTTTAACCAAATAAAATATTATTTGGTCACAATAAATATATAAAATGAAACAAATAGTTTCTTTATAAGAAAATTATCTTTCGTTTCGAATAAATTTTTTTATTTGAGATAAAGATACATATTCGTTGAAAAGCCTAACAATCGCGCATATTAATCGAAACATTAATTTCTTCGAAAGTATGCCGATGATGAAATTTGTTAGGATGCGATAAAATTTATCAAATTCGAAGAAATCTTTCTCTCGATGACAGGATGTTCCAGCATAAGAATATCGAAATATCTCCTTTGTTTCAAATGATACGAGAAATGATTACAGCACAATTTGAATGGTCCCGAAAGAATACTGTGGAAGGGAATTTTGTTACGGTCAATTTTTCAATTCCTTTTTTAAGACCCCAATATTTAGATTCTCAGAATATTTCAATATTTTCCTTACGCTGGGACACCCCTATATTCTTTGAATATTGTTCTCTCGACGAAGTCTCTATCGGTCGACTAGAAAATTGCACAGGCGTTCCCGCCTGAAAGAGTAACGCGATGTTCTCGTGACGTTTCGTCTCTCGCGAGCGTTTCCGTTGCGGACGATTGTCAGGTCGGATGAATGTTTTAACAGGTTAACTCCATTTCATGGCTCTCACCTTTCTCGCCGGAACTCGGAGCGAGATCGCGAGCCTCCATAGCGATGATAACTCGTCGATCGGGCTGCTCGTTGGGAACGAGCCGTCGTGACGATTCGATGTATCGTTATGCACGCTTTTAATAATGCCTTGAGTCGCTCGATAATGGCGAAATGTGACACACGAGTCGCCGCACAGATCTTCTGTTGTCGTGCGGTTGACGGCTGTGGCGGTTGTTGATAAACACATGAAGAATCATCGTCGCGTAACGATGAACCGATCGTCTTATTTCCGATCCTTCTGTCGTCCGATGACACAAACGCGACGCCATATTCAGGGGAGTGACGGAGAGAGAGAGAGAGAGAGAAATTTGCCGCGATAGATCCGATCGAGTAAACGTCATCTTTTGCGAAAAAATTCGTCGCATTGTTCTCTCCGACGCGTCTCCTCTTCGCAGTATCACAAGCTCCGAACGCGAATCTCGATATGAATGGGTTACGTGAAAGATGCGCGTGCACCGAGCACGGTGCGAATTATTACAAGGTGCTGTCGTTGGCGAGAAATTGCAACGACACGGAGATCAAAGACGCGTAAGCGAGACTTTATTTTTACGTATTATTAATTTCAGCATTAACAACATTATAAATAATTTTGTTAGCTAAACGCGAAAATTTGATTGCCACGATCTCGAATGTTATAAGCACCTAAAATTGAAAAACAGCAAAAAGATTATAAAATTATAAATTTGTAGTCTGTTATTTTTATAAACTGTTTTTTTAATAAATTATAAACTGTTATCGCCGCTACTACAATGAAGTCAATATCGTTAATATTTAAATTTTTCGAGGACTCTCAAAACTGAGAAAGAACTGGAAAAAAATCGATTGTTCTCTTTTAAGTCGTCAATAATTTTGTAAGAAATCAATATTTATCCTCCGTCATAGTAGGACGATAGCCACAAGATTATAGTTTAATAGTTAAATTTTTAAGTATTTTGGCTCCGAGGAAACAATATATATAGAAATTAAATGGCCAACACACACAGGAGCCAAAGCAAAATCCTATATATATATATATTGGCTATTTAATTTCTATATAGTTTAATCAATTTTTTACTGTTCTTTAGTCTGAGAAGCCTACATTGCACAAAACCGTGCAAGCAAAATTTTTGTTTAGCGTTAGACAAAATTATTTATAAGTCTGTTAATATTGAAAATAATAATGTGCAGAAATTACTGTACATCGATAAAACACGGATAAACATTTGTATAAAATATCAGTATTGTATACCTTGTAGTTTCTTCAGACATTCAAAGACATTTTCCAAAAATCACTTATAAAAGAAGGCATCAAATGAGAATACCCCCTCTCGGCTCAATGCATTAAAATGTTGTATCGAGTATACGTGTGTGACAAAAAAAAATTTGATCGTGAAGAGACTGAGACATCGTGCCGATAAAATAGCGCGCGGTTATTTCTCCTATTTTTTTCTTTTTTTTTCTTTCAGGTACCGACGATGCGCCACGCGATACAACCCCGCGCAGCAAAAGAACGAAGGTGCCGAGGCGATTTTCGCCTTAGCAGCTGAAGCGTACGATGTGCTCTCGGATCCTCTTAGAAGGGCCGTGTATGATCAATACGGTGAAGAGGGTCTTAAAAATGGTATGCCGGGACCAGAAGTATTTGCGCAGCCTTACGTCTATCACGGCGAGCCGATGCGGACCTTCAGGTGGAAGGGAAAATTATACAGTCATTGAGCTTCCCTATCGATGAGATAAAGTCGTGGAACATTGTATATAAATTCAGTCCCGAATCGCGCGAGCGTCTTTAATATCGCGGTTCTCCATGACGTGCTTTCTCCTGGAGTTTTTTCCTAAGAAAAAAGAAATTAAACGTCCTCCGCTGAATTTACCATCCAGGGAGTTCTTCGTGAATGAAAATCCATACGAAGATCTCCTGAGTATCCTGACGGAGCCTCAACCCTTGTTGGAATTTCCCGAAGGTCGTGGGATAAAACGGAAAGAACAACCTTGGATCAAAACCTTGCCCCTCACTCTTGCGGAGGTACATTTTTCATTTAAGGCCGTTAATCGTTTCTTTGCTTTTATATTTTGGTACAGATATACGTTCTGTTTTTCTCCGCCTCTTTTTATTATATATTCTTTATTCACCAAATTATTTCGTAATTACTTCCGCGCGAATTGTTCCCCCAGTTACTTCATTATCGACATTGTCAGGTTTTAAAATTTTAAAATTAATCAAACGGATTAAATATACGATATATGTGTGAAAGTGTCGTTGAACGAAGAGGAATATAATCGAGCAGCAGAGAGAGTTTTTCATCATAGGTCTTTTTCGGCGGAATAAAAAAGATGAAGATCCAGAAGTTGGTCTTAGTCGGCGACGATATGTCGATGACGCTGCCGACGGAGAGAATCTTGACGATACCCATTAAGCCGGGAATCCCAGCGGGCACCAGAATAGTATTTCCAGAAGAGGGTGATCAGGGAGCCACGAAGATACCCGGTAAGTCCCAGCAGCGCCTCCTTGATCTCTCTTGAGCTTGGCTTACGATCGTAACCGCGTGACCGCTCGAGAGCGTAACTGTAATTGCGATAATAAAACAGACGGATTCTCCTCCCCCTTCGCTCGATAACGCGACTTAATTTCCTGGTGCCGTGCTTTCGGCGAGATTCTAGTCTAATTACAGATCGATTGACGGTGAGTCTTGGGGAAGATGAAATTTCGCCCTCTTGTCTTTTCTTCGTCGATAATTAAACTTTGCCCTTCGTCAGTAACCCGCGAAAGCAACTTGAAAATTAACTGCTACGATATCAGTATTCGACCATTCTCTTATTTGCGACTGCGTGGCTTCTAAAAATCTACGGCAGAAGTTTTTTATTTCGGGAGTATCAGAATTTCTTTCGGAGTTTAAGTCAAGTCATTCGTACGGAAAAATACATACTGCATTCAAATAAATATTACTTATTTCAAATACTTTATAAGTTTATATTCCCGCAAATATATCATAAGTTCATCATAAGCGTCAAATGTATTAAAAATATATTTTAAATCCTGGTAAATTTAACTCTTAAATCAAGAATATTAAATTAAAACACTAAAACCATGGTTTCCTTATCCAAATTAACCAACTTTAATTTTTCTTCGATAAAGTTAATAATATTCTTGAAAAGAAAACAAAGTCTTCTTTCGAATAAATGTTAACGCGGGCTTTTCTAATATTTGCGATGAGTATATTTTAATTCTATCATCAAGGAAATATTCTTCGTTCAAAATAACTGTTACTTAAAAGAAGAATAGTAAAAACTGAGTAATTGCTTTTCCTCACCGTATAATTAATATTTTTCTCTGTGTACGTTGCGACGGAAGGAAAGGGGCGAATTTTACCTTTTCGTACAATTGACTAAAAATTACGAGTCGCAATTTAAAATTCATCGTGATGATCTATTTGTGACTGTCATCGCGACGATGCGGGCGGTTTGCGGAAGAAGGGTTTAAGGCTAATTGTGACGAGACAGTTGATATCTTCACTAAATCCGAGACACGTCAGCGTAGCGGATGTTATCTTCGTCACGGAGGATCGGCCTCACGAAACGTTTCGGCGAGAGGGCTCGGACTTGCACACGACGGTCGATATCTTTCTAAGGGAGGCGCTGACTGGAACGGTGATCACGCTTAATACCATCGACGACAGAACTCTTCGGATCCAGATAACATCGATCGTTACGTACGAAAATTCTGAATTTGTATCGATCGAGCGCAGAGCTTGCAATTCTCCAACACGAAGACCTGATATCAATTGCAAATCCTACCCAATATTTTTCGAAATACACAGAAAAGAAGATTTCTTTTGATTTAGTGTACGTGTTTATTTGATTTGAGTTTGCTTAATATAAATAATATATTAATATAAATAACATGATTTAATATCAAATATCATTCTGTTTGAATGAAAATATTGTTGTTTCACTAGAATAAAGCATATTGTTTGATAGGAAAAACAGTATTATTTAGAGGAAATGATTTTTTTTTCAATAAAAAATCTATTTTGTTATACATTAAATATTGTTTTACCAAAGCATAAAGTTCTTTATTATTTTTCTAACATAGTGTTTCTTTTTTCAAATAATTTATTGCTTGCGAGAACCGTGTAATGTTTGGGTGAAAATACAAAAGAAATTATAGGAAGATATTATAGAAAAATATTATTTGACGTAAAGATTCATTGTTTGAGAAACTAAACAATTTTGTTTGTTGAATCAAACATTCATTGTTTGTTTATTCTACTCGAAAGGACAAGTTTGTTTCGATCAAAAAATTTTATTAAATCCAAAGAAATTTTTTTCTCTGCGTGCTTAAACATTTTGGTTTTGCGGCCTCTTATAGTATCGCACAATTTGCTATTTCCTCCAGTGCAACTTTTATTTAATCCTAAAACACGCGGATGACAAGTGCCGATTAGCCTTCTTTCCTTTCGATATGCTGCAACACGCGACAATAAAGAGAACGGAGAAAATTGATCAGTGACAGAATTTCGTAGACAGTCTTGAAACGAAAATACGACGAAACTTGATATGCAGCCACGCTCAGCACTTAAATCGTACGCAGTAATTTCGTTGATTAAAATTTTATTTTTCATAGAAAAACCCTACAATCGTTGATGAATAAATTGTTAATCGACATTGGTTTCACCAGTGTCGATTTACTTCGGCAATAGTTGGATCGATTCTTCGTTCTCGTCCCGAACTGCCACCGCGACATCGCTCGAAGTAACAATTTTACGCGCCATTTTGACGCGTCGTTTAAATATCCGCTGATTTCTGGTACCGTCTCAGGCCGGATTACACGAAGCGCTTGCGAGGCGAGGGGATGCCAGTTCTCGTGGATCCGCGACAGAGGGGCGATCTGATTCTGCGATTCAGCATCGAGTTCCCGGTTTACCTGCCGTTGACCAACAAGAACCACATTAGGAAAGCCTTCGAGGTGTCTCGCACGGTAGCCGTCGGGGATGCCGGATACACTCAAGTGCGCAGAAACATCGACGGCGACGTGCCGCTCCGACGTGCGGACGACGAGGCGAATCAATTGAAATTCATATGCGAGACGTAATTTCGAGCGAATCTCCCGAGCGTACATATTTCACGCGTTATATGATATGCATATTGATTCGGTGTCAGCCGATATCATGACATTTCTCGACGTCATAAACTAGACGAGAAATTATTAGAATAAAAGCGGCGCGCGCGAATATTACCGGCTCTCCTGCGTGCGCGAGCGAGCGATCGATTATTTCATCGCGATGCATAATCAGTAGTTGCGGCTACAACTATTGTAAAATGTAAATGTTGACGATTGACGCAATCAATCCGACGATATACGCGAATGCAAATATAAAAACGGCGCCGGCACAACAATACGCGCGTCTCGACCACGCGCTGTAAATCATTCCCAACGCGCGCGCACGCGTTGATTCCGCGCGTTAATTCGCGCCTCCATCCGGCGTTCTGTTGTTATTTATTTTTACTCGTACGGCTAATATTCACACGTCGGTCGTGTCGCACGTCGTCATATAAATCGATCGACGTCGAAAAATCATTTTACGCGAGCGGCCGGCCGGCGGGCGAACGCGTTCGCGCGCGCGGATTTCCTCGTTCCTGACGTCAGACGTCCGAAATAGCTGATGCTGCTAGTACCATTGACCCTAACAGTACGTGGGGAAACCCACACACGCACACACACACACCGACGGCGAAGGCGTCATTACCGCGCCAACGTTCCGTGCGCACCTTGTGTAACGGGTGTCTCCATCTTACGGGGATCTACCGCCAATGATTCCGCTGGGATGATCTAGAGGAGATGGAAAAGGAGAGAGAAAGACAGAGAAGGAGAGAGAGAGAGAGAGAGAGAGAAAGAGAGACCTTCAGTCGGTATTCGTTGATTTCCCACGAGAGATTCGTAATTTTCCATGCGATCGCGCACGGGAAAATCGCGCGTACAGGTGACAGGTGCGCGTGCGACGGAGATCCGGTTGACCACCGCGGGCCGGTCGGCGTGCTCGAGACGGGCCTAAAAGCGGCCTCGATCGTGTCGGAGTACCGGAGAGCCGAGCTATTATCTCGGGCAATCATATGACTCCGGCGCACGTGACTTTATTTACAGTTGACTTACACCCGCGAGAGAGAACATGTATGGTGCAGTTCGCCGTGACATGATAGACAGAAGCGAGAGATACAAGTCGTGGGGCGTGCGGCGATGCTATAGTCGCACGGCCGTTGTTTTATGATGCCGTTGCTCGATAAACTGCTGCCGAGGACGAGGAAACGTTCACGCGACGGTTGTGCCGAGAGGTTGGTGCTGCGGTCCAGTGCGCGAACATCAGCTGAGAATGACGGGTGAGAGAGAGAGAGAGAAGGAGAAGAAGAGAGAGAAACGTGACGAACGCGGCTCCATTTCGGAGCGCGTCTTATCGTTCATGGATCCCCCGAAATGCTCTTCGTCGTGTTCGCCCGACATCGTTTTCTCATTCACTCTTAGCCTTAATATTTCACGTATATCTCGTCAACTCGTTTAACGTCGGCGAAGAGGATACAGGCTGCATCTCGGGGTGGGGGAGGAGAGGGGAATAAAAGAAGACAAAGCGAAGCGAAATACGTTTCTCTCGCGTCCGCCGCGATGAAATCGATATTTGCGGGGTGCGAGAAGTTAAACCGAGAAGCGGACCCGACAACTCGAAAATTGTTATCCGTGCCGGGGTCTCGACTTGACCACTCCTAACCTACTCCGACATGATTTCCTGGCACCGTTCTCTCGCGTCGGCGGCGGCAGTCACGATCGATCGCCGCTGTTTTACCGACGCCCAGCGTCGTTAAGGTCGCGCCCGGGTCGTCGCGCCGTCCGCGAGACTCGAAGCGCTCTCGGCCGAGGGAGGCACGGCTTCATCGGATTTTTTTTATATATATTATGCGGGCGAATTTAATTGAATTATTAAACCGTCTCCGATTACCAAACTTCTCCGTCGTCCTTTAACTCCATTTTCCAAGCTGTCGTTTAATACTGCGAAGGCATAATGACTGCTACATAATAGTAACAATTCAGACAAATCGACGAAAAAGAAATCTTTAATAAAAACTGTGTTTAAAGTGTGTGTGAGTTTTCATGCAATGAGAAAAAAGAAAAATTTATATATGTATTTATAAAAATTGTGACGTAAAAAAAAGAAAAAAAAATATATATATATATTTATGTATAAAAATTGCATGAAATGCAAATGTATCATAAAAATTTTTGAGTTTCACACGCCTACACACATGCATACACACACAACAATTTGTTAAATTTGCACGTTGGTTAAATTTATTGCGTCAAGCGATCGATCATGTAAATAAAACGAATACATAAAAATATTGCACGGTCCGTATTTGACGTCGTTTTTGTCTCGTAGGGACTACGTGCTGTGCCTCGGAGCGGATCAAGTGCGGATTCTGTTATTTCGAGAATGCGAATGGCGCGGCCGGAAGTTGCTGTTCGATTCGATGACATTGCAGAAACAGCGAAGTAAGAGCGAAATCGTTGAGCGGGCGGCGGCGAGCAACAATGCGGAGGGAAAGTGCGAGGCGCCCTTCAACATAGGGACTGCTCGCGACCTCGAGGTAATCGTCGCGGTTTCACGTGTCGGCGGTTGAGCGAGCTAATTGCGGAATAAGCGGCAATTCAATCCGACTAACATTCAGCACGGTCTCCGTTAACGATTGTTAGGGGAGAATGTGATGTTGTAGTCCCCCACTTGCATTTTGTGCAATAACTTTAATAATTAAGATTTTTAATTGAAAATTTAACCATTACACTCGTCAAAGTGTTGCTCAATCGACTCCAGACTCAAAATTATGAAGTATTTATTATTTAAGTTGTTATTTATGAAAATGTAGCAAAATTGCGTAACAAATCGAAGAGAAACAAAGGTGGTAATATGGCCCCCGCTGCTAAAATAGATCTGAAATATTGGTCTTGCTAAAAAACCATAGTGTTTCATTAAAAATTCATACATTTATTCAAAATAACTCTCTTGGAAGGGACAACAATGAATATAACCATGAATTTCTATCGATACTGACTTGCTTGTCGGAAAGTAAATATAAACTATCAAAGGGACTATTTCTACGAAACGAATAGACTTGAAAGTTAACTTGAATTATTATTTTTATTTTATTGGCTTATGGAATAACTACGTCGACATGGAAACCTCGAAAAACTAGCTGTATTAAATCTATTTTAGTGTGGAGCCAAATTATTGTATACGAGGCCACGGAGGCCTTTGCAGACTTCGAGAAAACGTATTTTTCAGATGGGTTAAAGAAGTTGGAGCATCGCTGGGTCAAGTGTATCGAGCTAAAAGGAGACTATGTTGAGAAATAAATCGCCACTTTTCCAAAATTTTCGTTTTTCTTTTGTAGGCTAAGTACTTATCGGACTGCCCTCGTATGTCGAGTTATTGCTTAAATTTGTGCAACTCGAAATATGTACAGCGGAATAAAATGTTAAATAACGAACAACAAAATGCTCAAGTGTACGTAAATTCGCGTGATAATAAGCTCAAGTTTACAAAAAATAAGGAAGTATTAAGATGTACCTTGAAAACAAGCTAATTTAAAAAACAAATTCCATAAATAATCGCTAAAATTCGTCGCTTAATAGCAGAGATATTAAGGGGGCCGGTATTACCTAATAAATACCAACCATTAATGTAATATCAATATTACAATTTCTCATTCAGCAATGTAACTGTTACATAATACACGCGTTATATTTCATTTACATTGTCGAGCGGAAAATTATAACATTGTTGATGTTACGTTACTGTTAGTTGGTGTGTTTGCTGGGTACTTACGAGGGTCACTGTACCACCTTCCCTTCTAACAACAGCGAGCGCGAGAAAACTCTTCGTTGCAATTTGCGGTAGCTGCGCGACTGTTTTCCAACCACACACTCGTCTGTCGAATTGTAAACCGATCGCATATGCAAGACGACGCGTGTACGTTTCGAGAACTTGCATTACCAGTCCGAGAAAAGAAAGATCATATGTGGAACTTGCCCATATATGACTATATATAACCATATACGTCCGCAACGGAAAAATACCGTTGTTTGCAAATTCTATGCAAATACAATCGAAGTGAATACCTCTGGCTACTCGTACTGTTCTGACAGCACGTGATATCGACATTTAATTAAATGACATAACATCTTTTTTTTTTCGTACAGACATATACGAGGGTGGATCGAAAAGTTTCCGGCCTGACTAAGAAAGGAGCATTTTTTCGAGCCAAATGAAATTTATTTCTCAACATAGTCTCCTTTCAACTCGATACACTTGGTCCAACGTTTGTCTAGACCTCTCATTCTCTCAGTATAATAACTTTTGTCTAAACTCGAAGGTATAGTCATTAACGGCACTTATCAAGCTTCCGGCGAAAATTTCTTCCCAGACATAATCATGTATAATCATTTTTCCCCGGGAGTCTGCGAACCTTCGATATCGCCCATCAAGTGTGTGCGAAATGTTTCAGCCCGAGAAGACGGCCGAGGATGACGTGAACCTACTGAGCGAGATGGTATTCGGTACCGTGGCTATGATGTACAGAGGATCGTCCTTCAAGGTAGCTCGTTCTCTTGAAAGCGATCTTCTCAATCTTCTAAATCGTGTCTCGATCACCCGATTATTTCTTCTTTCGAAGGTTCACTCGATGAATTCCCCTCCGTGCATCATGTGCGCGAAGATCTTCTCGGCGACGGAGCACGGCACGTGCAAACCGAGGTAGGTGTCGCTTCCGTGACTGTTTCTATAGCGGGGAGAAACTAATTCCACCGCACTTCATTGTCTTCCCTCAATCGTCTCCTGACTCGCTTGTTCAAATTGTCCTGCAGCGAGAGGGTATCGGACGAAGGATTGGGCCGCTCTGTGCGCGTGGATTCCGCCTCCAGCAACGCCAGCACGCGATCCTTTCGTGAGTAGATCGATATCCATCGCTTCGATTACAAGCGAAGATTGAGCCTCTTCAGCTCTTGGATTAAATGCGGGGTGTCTCAAAAAAATGTATGCACACTTTGAACGATTATAAAGTCATTAAAGTTCATTGACGCACAGTTTATTTTCAAAAATTTAAAGGAATCTATAAATTAATTTAGAAATGAATAATTCTTTTTTCGCCAACGTCTGTTTTCAAACCGATGACCGTTCTGGTCCAAGCGTTGCAGATAACGCGAAGCTATTAGAGTGTATATACATTTTCTGGGGATCCCTGTATATTTCGCGACTGGAACCGATTTCTTTCTGAAGAAACGTTCGGGCTATCGTAGTGTAAACCTACCGCCGATTTCGCGATTTTTCATCGAAATTTTAGACGTTCCGTGAGAAAGGAAAATTGCTAAGACAGAGACTTAAAGTTGAAAGAACAACAATTGAGCGAATCCTGACAAATAATTTTCATTACAGTGTCCCAGCCAAGCTCCGGCAACTTGTCTGGCAACGACCTGCACGCAACACCGCGGAAGAATTCGACGTGCTCGAGTCTCGGCAGCGGTTGGGACATAGATATAGCCGCCCCAACGGGGAGTAAGTCGATCACGTTGATCACGTTAGAGCGATTTAGCGAAGGATCCACGAATAGGATACACGGAGAAAACAAATTTTGCCAGAACAGCAAATGTTTGTCAATATAGTAACAGCAAAAGATAAGTTTGTTCGAACAGCAGGAAGATTTGTTAAGAATATTAATTGCCATTTGCCGAATATACGAACAATTAATACTCTTAACAAATCTTTCTGCTATCCAAACAAATTTTTTGCTGTCTGAACGAATTTCTCCCTGCTGCCACCATATTGACAAACATTTGTTGTTTCGGCAAAATCTGTTTTCCCCGTGTACAACACGTCTTAACGCTGATGTCAGGTTCGCAGTCGTTGGAGAGTAACGGATCGTCCGGCATCGGCAGTCTGTCCAGTCTGCGAAGACGATGGCTCAGGGCGATCTCGACCTCCCTCGGCCGATCAGACTCCGATGACTCCGCTTTCGGGATGCAGCACTGGGGCGAGAACGGTAGCGACGGGCGTGATGGATATGCGAAGCGTCACAAAACCAGGTTGGGCTTAGCGATGCTGGTGCGCCTCGCTCAAGGCCACGAGAGGTACGTGGTTGCTCGCGAATCTTATTTTATCATTAACGAGAAGGAGATTTCGCAAAGTTCATATTCATCAGAGGAGAACATCAATTCGTTGGTTATGAAAAACGGAAGATAATTCTACGTATGCGAAAATAATTGAGAAATCGAGATCACTCATTATTTACGCAAGTTCTCGCCAACTTTCGAAAAGAAAATCGGTAACAATCAAATTCGACCATCGTCAAAGCGGGAAATGTATATTCTTGTCAATTCATGGAAAAAAAGATAATATAAGAGAGAGATAATGTTGAGCGAAAAATATACATAATCAACAGCAAGATAGAGACGCAGCTTTTGGAGCACATGGCCCTCTTAGAGGGGATGCTGGATCGTTTGCGCTACTTCTGCATCGAAATTGGCAACTTCCACGGTTTGGGCTGCAAGGGGATGCAGCTGACCGACAGGATATGCAGGGCGACATCGCGATTCGTCGTCTCGCTGCTGCAGGCGCTCCTCAACGTCCAGAGCGACGCCGGTTCGCGCGCTCCTCTGCTCTGGCACGACGTTCTGCTGCACTCCGTGACGGTGAAGGTGAACACTGACACCTTGCGCCGCAGTTTGCACCAGATGTGTGAGTTATTCGACGAGCTCGACACGAAGTCGACGAATTTGTGAGTGTACGCGAGAATACCGTCACACGACCGGCCGAACGGTCCGAAGGTATTGATCTCAGCGCATTTCAGCTTCCTGAGCACTGTGGTCACCGCCGTGTTAACGTACCACCTCGGCTGGGTCTACACCGTACTGTCCCCGCGCGATCGTCAAATGGTGAGCTCACGAAACCGTTAGCAAAGCCGAGAGGCTCTGTTCAAAATCAATCGGCCGTGACAATTATATCCTCGATCAGGCGTCGTAAGAGAAATGAATGGTGAAACGAATTTTCCAGCGATCAATTCAAAGCTGATTCAGCGACAGTTCAAGTAACAATTAACTCAGTAGTATAGTTCGATAGTCACAATTGAGTAATCAATTCATTCATTAGTTAAATTAGCACTCTGAGAGAAGACAATATTTTAATAATTAATTTATCAATATCTTTGCTAATTATGCGCGGAAACCTCTGCGAGATCTTCCTGCGTACGGTTCCTCCTTTGAAATTGACCGACTAAGCTTCCCCTGAAATTTTGTCTTCTCTCCAGATGGGATAACTTTAAAATATTAATTATTAATAAAGTTATTACGCGAAAAGTGATTGTACAAACGCGAATGATGGGTCACAATATATCACTTTTACCTCTAATGTATAGTGTAACATTATTAACGTTAATAATAATATAATAAGATATTATTAATATTAATAATTAATTTCTGAATATCTTTGATAATTGCGCGCTTTAAGTCTTTTCTACGTAGGGCTCCTCCTTTGAAATTGACCGACGAAGCTTCCTTTAAAATTCTGCCTTCTCCCCAGATGGAGAAACTGGGCAGCTGGTACTCGTGCAATCCGCTGTGGGCCCAGCTGGGTGACCTATACGGCGCGTTAGGCAACCCCGCGAAGGTGGCGCACACCGTGATCGCGGGCGACCCGCGGAAGGGCGAGCTGATCAACTCCGTCCTGTCGTTTCTGTCGTACTTCATTCGCAGCGGCGTGATAGAGAAGCGCCGGGAGTACCGATGCTCGTCGGAGCGTGACCTGCAAGAGGCGGTCGGCCTGTTGGAGCAGGCTCGCAGCAAGCGGCCGTACCTGTTCAGCGGCAGGAGGTCGACCTGCGCGTTCAACGAACGGGAGACCTCGGGAGGCCTCGTCAGGCGAGGCGACGGCGAGTCGCGCAAACCGCCGTCGATACGATCGCCCGACGGCGGAACCGACGTTAACGCGCCGCGTTACATCGCCGTATCGCGGTATCCTGCGGAACGGCCAAGGATCTCGCGCTCCGACAGCCCCTTCAAGCGCAGCGGCACCGTGAAATCCGACCTTGACGCGCTGATGACGAAGTCGTCGGCCGAGGCGACGGACCTCAAGCTGCCGACGAAGCGGGCGTCGCGCGAGTCGCGTGACGCAAGTAAATACGAATCGCTGTCGGACGATCGATCCGACGAGGGTCTCGCGTCCAGCAAGGTGAAGATAATCGTGAGCGAGATCGGTGAGCCGCAGGAGGACACCCTGGCGAAGGAGTCCCAGCGAGACCACCCGTCGCAGTATCCACGGACGAGCTTCGGGAAGAAGCTGGACGCCGACGCCGAGGAGAGTCTCGCGACCGGCCATAACGTGCACCCACTGAAGATGTACTTCAGCCGGCCCGAGTACCCGCTCAACGCGGAGGGCGAATTCGCGGCCGACGAGGGTAAGGAGTCCTCGCCGCAGGTCTTCTTCACTCTCGGCGGCGGCGAGGACAAGTCCGCGAAGGCGTCGCGGCTCGGCGGCAGCAACTGCCAGTGCTCGTACACGTTCACAAGGGTGCCGAGCACATCGGCGCAGCTGCCGGAAGGCGTGCTGCGTAAGATCATCCAGCGGAACTTCCCCGAATCGTCCAAGAGCATGGAACCGCCGCCGGGCGCGAGGTCCGTAGGCTTCTGCCTGAGGTGCAACGGGCAGGGTTACGCGCAGGATTACGACGGCAGCAAGCAGGTGCTGGAGACGCCGACGAACGCGACGGAGGTGTTGCGCACGTGCGGCAGCTCCGTCGGCGACCGTAACGTCGTCCGGATGTCGAAGTCCAGCAGCCTGGAGGCCCTGATGGAAGCCAACAGCGTCGTAGAACTGCCGATGCCGAGGTTAGTAGGCGCTGCGCTACCGAGAACGAAAGATTTCTTCGAATTTGATCCATTTCAGCGCGTAAATACAAAACAAAGGAGGGCGCAATCTTTCACGTCTTTTCGTTACCCCTCTCGGGGATCGTCTCACTTCCACATTTTCTCATGTATTTGCCTGGAAACCGAAAATTATCATTATAACAACGCACTTAAGGAAGAATTGGCACATCGAAGTAAAGTGAATGGAATCATTACTCGCATCTTTATGAAATAAATAATATGCGCGATAGACTTTTCAACGAATCTTTATCTTAAATAAAAAATTTGTTCGAAACTTAAGGTAATATTCATGTAATGAAATTATTTGCTTCATTTTACATGTTTATTGTGACCGAGTAATATTTTGCTCGGTTAAAAGATACTATTTCAAATAATAGCATTCTTTCTGTTAAATAATAGAGTTTTCTCGAATGAGAATAAACCTTTCACTCAAACGAATAATATCTCGTACATGTTGTTTCTATGAAACAAATTTTAGTGAAAGAAATAAAAATACTAAATCTAAAGGGACCTTTTTATCTCTGTGTATTGTTGATGATTCGGTCCGTTGACGATTGTCATCGCAGATCAAGGAAAATCTCGTCGAGCAAAACTGGTTCAGCCGAGGAGATGGGTTTCACGAGGACCCTCCTGCAGAATAGGATAACGAATGACGAGACAAACGTCCTGGACACGGGCTACACGTGGGGCTTGGTGCTGCAGGGCATGATTAAGAAGAAGAAGAGGAGAAAAAAGAAGTCGGCGGATGAGACCGACAAAAGCGAGACCGAGCCGCGGGAGAACTGGTGGTCGTGTATGCGCGAGGAGGTCGCGGCTAGCGCTCGCTTCCCGACGATCGATCAGCCAGTTGCTGAAGCGCTGTGCGTGCTAGCCGACCTGGACACATGGCACGTCGGCATCTTATCGAATAATGCGCCTTGGCAAAACCCGCCCTTGCCGGTGGGCATGTCGCGCCTCGTGTCGAATATGTTGGAATCTTTCGCTTACGTGTGGCGAAAATATCACTCCCCTACTTACGTAAGTACCTTCCTTCGTTGCGATCCGAGTTTCACGTGAATCCATGATAAACGCAGTTTTCTCCAACGCGCCTAAGCCAAACGCCGACTAACAGTAACACAACATCGAAGTTACAATTTTCCATTCAACAACATAACTGTTACATGCGTTATACAGGGTTTTCTATGAAGAGGCTTCATTTTCAATTATTAGAAGAACAATGTTATTTTTGTGGAAAAGGTGATATTTGTATTCCAATGGAAAGTACAGACTGTACGATTTTAACACATTGACAGCCGGCCCCGCGAAAACGCGGGTTTCTGAGTCTGTCGCTTGAGCGCCGACCCCGCGAAAACGCGGGTTTCTGAGTCTGTCGCTTGAGTAGCTGCGACAGTAAAAAGAAGCGAGAGTAACTTAATGTGTGCCGAATGCTTAGTATCTTTACATCTTGGACAATGTTTCGAGAAATACCACACTTGCCTTAAATATTAAAACTTTTGTTTTCTGTTTACGTTATATATATGTAATAATCCACCATGAAATGAGAAACTGTATTTTTTTTATAATTATAAATTAAAAATTTCAATTTTGTTTATATTTTTAATTACCGTTAAATTGTATGTGACGAGTATGCAAATAAAATGTACTATTTTACGAAAATATATAATGATTTAAATATTTTTTTTGGCTATTCAGTGATCAGAAACAAGCGAATAAGGCCGGTGTTCAGGCTTTAAATGTCTCTTAGGTCGCCGGCTGTCCGATGTGTTAAGTGTGGGACACGATATCTGATAAATGACCGTCTCGACTTCTTTTTTACAAACGGTCACTTTTTTTAGAAAATCTTGCATCACGTTTTCGCATACAGACTCGACTTCGTAAATAACATTTTTGATATTGCCTTCCTTGAATTGTTTGTGGAGCACTGGCGTAGACCTTATCCTTCACATAGTGTCAAAGAAAATAGTCTAGCGGTGTTAAGTCGCACAACCTAGGCGGCCAATTAAAGTCTCCGCGTCGGGAAATTACGCGTCCAGGGAACAATCAACGAACGTACGGTGTTGTGCACGGTCTGCCGGCTTCAATTCTTGTGTCAGCTGGACTTTGTAAACATGCAGGTCAAGATATTTATGCAAAATACGGTGCAAGCTGGTTTGAGATATGTCCGATTGCTGCGAACGTCTTGGAATGGACAAACCTGGATTTTCTGCGACACTTTCAGCCACAGCGGCAATGTTTTCGGTTGATCTGGCTGGCCGAGCACGGGCTGGGGTCTTTACATCACTAACTTGACCCAAACGCTCAAATTTTTTGATTAGATTAACAATTACTGGACGAGAAAGTGCGACTTCATTACGACTGAAAGCAGTACGAACTTTACGAATTGTCTCTGTGAAATTTTCACCATTTTTGCAATGAATTTTCACAATTTCTATACGTTGCTACAGAGTATATCGCCCCATTTTTGTTAACCGTATACTTTTTACTTGTCAGCTGTTAAGGAATGGCAGTTCTATCTTTAATAAAAATGGCGAAATTTAAAATGAAAACCTCCTAATGGAAAACCCTGTGTTATATTTATATTGTTGAGTGGGAATTGTAATATTGATGTTATGTTACTGTTTAGTCGACGTTTGCTGAGCTTCATACTTTGAAAGTCTCAAAGAAACAAATCAAATCGAATCTGGACTTTTCAAATTTTTTCTTTTCTCCTCTCGAGGATAAAGCCTTTGGTCTGTTGCATTTCAAATCCTCATATCACTGATGTTTCAGTGCGTGGCGATCTTGGAGGCCAAACTGAGGGAACTGTGGTTGAGGAGCGAGGCCTTGGCAGAGATGATGATGTCCGTGGAGGAGTGCGACGCCAACGTGAATAGCCTGACCAACGCTCTCGATCTCGACGCGGCCGACATACCGCTGCTGCTCGCTGTAGCGACCACTCACTCACCGGAGATAGCGCAACGATACGGCCTTACGCTAACGTAAATCCGTTCGATCGTGCCTCACGCAGGTTTCCTCCCCGACGGTTGTTCCGTTGTCGAGAAAAAGAAAATAAGTACTTCCTCCGTAGCGCGTATCGACAGCGTGTAACCGATACTTGCCACCCAGTAAGCAAGAAACATCAAATCAACCTTTTAAAACAGTGATTTTATGTGGATTTTGTAGGCACTTTTGACATAATATGTTTGACATAATATTACATTTTGACGTAATTTTTTACATAATATTTTATTATAATTAAAATCATTATGCTTTCAAACCGTTACTGTCTTGATAATATTATATTTTTTTAATTACGGTGTAGAAACATTATTTTTAATATTTCAGTCAAAATATTGTCGACAGTAACGTCGTATACAGCATTAAGAATTTCATATTTGAAAACGTTACATGTTATAAAATATTGTTGTAATAACGTTATGTTGACGATTTCTCGCTTACCGGGTAGATACTCTCTTGAAGTGTTCGCCGAGGCTTTTGATTCGAGCCAAAGGGAACTAATCTGATGTTTTCTCCACCGAGTACATAGCGCAATCTACAGAATAAATAGCGATGTATTCGATCATAAATTAAATCACCGCGAAGCATGCTACAGGACACGCTATGGTTTAGTCGCACGTTCGCAGCCACGGTGCGTCGCAGCGTTTCGAGCGTAGTGAGCTACGCGTCTCTCATTAAGCCTAATTAATATAATAATAATAATGTGTATTCGATTTTTTACACGACTCATGTGAGCTTGCCGTTGTATGTGCACTCGATCCGAGTGAATAATAAAGTCTGAATGAGCTTTTTTATCCCGCTGCATTTCTCCGAAAGGAGCATATTTTTATTCGAGTATTTAATGCCCGCATAACAATAAAACGAAACGAAATATGATTAAAGAAAAAATACGATTGCAACATCGGTGACATTAATGAGACGCCGTTGGGCGTTGGATGTGAGTTTCAATGAGATAGGCTTGTCAATTTTTCGCCCGTTAGAATCGCTTCGTCGACGTCTCGAAGCGATAGCGAACAACGTCACACGGCACGGCAGCTTCATATTCTTTCATCAATTGCCGAAGCACCCAAAAATTATGACGGTCTGACTAAATTGTATTTTCGTAATCTACGAATTTAGACGTCAACATCAATCATTGTTTCTACCAAAAATCATGGAGATCTGCCCAGCTGACCCGTGAGCCGACATTGCCGTAACTCGAATCTTGCTTTTTCGAAATAGCACACTTTAATCGAACCTATACGCGCTCTCGCTTTGAAACGGATATTAACTGATACTATTACCGCAGAATTTTGCCGGAAAAGCCGCCGTTGTCGATTATCGAGGCGAAAAATAAAATTCGGGTGAGCTTTGACGTTAGGATAAAGAGAAATGATTATCTTATTACGGCAATATAATATTTGAGAATTCGAGTATCTCTTTTTAAGATTTTTAAGATCTTCTTAAGATTTAACTATTTATTTCTTTTTCTGCACTCAAATCCATGTGTGGTGTTTCTCTTGGAATATGACTTATCTTTAGCTCGGTCACGATGAGTGTTGCAACTGTTGTTGCTGTTGCACGCCGCAGCCCACGTGTTACGTGAGTAGCGCGTCCCAATATTTATACGATCTTTTCCATTGAACCCACTTGCGTATAAGTGAGAAAGCGAGTTCTACTTTTGCAGAAATATATCCAACCGGAGGTGCCGAAATCCTTCGCGCCGGTCCACGTAAGTAACCGAAAAAAATTCAACAGAAATAGGAATACGATATATTTTACCACGGTCTCTCTCTGATTATTAATGATTAACACAGTTCACGTATATCCCCTTTAAAAAATGATCTTAAAGAAATATAGGTTTCCCAATTTATCAATTCGCCGTGTTTTAGTATTACTGGAAATCGGACATACCGATGGACAAAGATACAACATATCGTCTTTCCTATTGGGAAGAACCCACTATGACAGTCGAGCCTATTCGACCCGAAGACAATCTAACGTGCGGCGATGCGCCGATGTCCGATGAAACTACGCACAAGGTTAACCATATTTTCCAGCAATTTTCCAGCAATTTTCCAGCAGCTGTCACGACTTGTCTACATGGAAAAAAAAGATTTTGCTGATGCAGCTAATCATAGTTTGACTGAAAATGTCTTGCTGCTATAGTTGGAAATTTGCTGTAATTGTAACTAGAATTTGGGTTACCATTGCTGAGTATGTAGGTACCATATTTGATATATGTTTATTGCAGCTAAACTTGTAGATATCTATGTGTTACAAAGATTTAACTAATATATAAACACGTATAAACTTGGCTACAGTAGACATATGATAGGTGTAGTACCTATACACAAGTAGCAACAGTGGCAGTTATGAAATGTGACTGTTGTGAAGTTTTGGCAGCAAATTTTTGACTACAGCACTCTGATGGAAATATTTTGCTGAAATATACCCTCAATTGACCCCATTTCATTAATATATGTAATTTTCAGTTTCAGTAAAATTCATGATATTTAGTAAATTTCATAATATCTAATATTTCAAAAATTTTGTTATTACTTTTCATGATTATATTTTAATTTTCATTATATTTCAGAGCATTATATTGAATTTCATGATGAAAATTATGATTTACTTCGAAATATTTATTATTATATATTTCAGTAAGTTCTCAGTAACTTTCATCTCACTGTTGATCAAGTTCACAGTATACCACCCACTAAGCAAGAAACGTTAAATCAATCTTTTGAAACATGGATTTTATGTGGATTTCATAAAAATGTTGGCATAATATCTTATAAATATTTATAAACTGTTATTTGATAATATAATATTCCTAAATATTAAAATCATATTGTATAAATATTATTTTTAATGTTTGGGTTAAATATTGTTAACAATGACGTTGTATACAACATTAAGAACTACATATATGAAAACGTTACGTGTTATAAAATATCATTGTAATAACGTGTTAATGATTTCTTGCTCACTGGGCAATAATCGAATAAGGAAAGTTAAAGTATGCTGTTGAAATTTATTTACTGAATTAAACTGAAACCTGCATATATTGATGGAATGATAATGAAACGAGGACAATTGAGGGAGAATTTCAGTCAAATTTTCATCATAATATTTCCATCAGAGCAGAATAACACTTTCAACTAAACCATGATTGGCTATTGCCAAGCAAAATCCTCTTTTCTCCGTGCACGGTATGTTCGGTCGCTCTTGCAGATGACCTATCTCGGCAATTGGTGCGTGAAAACGGAGCCACCGATAATACCTTGCGAGAAAAATTGGTTGGGTAGAGGCCCGATGAAGGACGTTACAACGCACAAGCACGATTATCTGTGGAAATGCATGGATCGAGCGGAACCCGTAAAGGCGCGAGATAATTTATATCCACCGTGTGCTGCTTTGTGCGGTAATTGTCGTCGTCAGACGAAGATTCGATCTCTTTCTCTCCTCCCAAAGTGAAACAAGTTAGTCATGGAAATGCCAAGGTGACATCAGAATGATGCGTTTTATGTACACAGTATCATCAGCGCCGAGAATCAGTTCGAAAAGACTTAATTGTGACATATCACAGCATATAATTACAGAATGCGTAATCAGTGGTAATTTTCTGCAATCTTCGTGAAGTATTTGGGGTATCTCAAGAACAAAGTCATATAAAAGTCACGATGACATCGAAATGACGTCAAAATAATATTATTTTGACGTTATCTTGACTTTTATATGACTTTTTCTCACTCACATTGCTGACTGGGAAACGATAACATTGATGTAACGTTACTGTTAGTTTTAGTGAGTAGTGTCTACTCAGTAAAATATGATCACCGAATAATGTCACTTTGATATCCCTGTGACCGATTCGTCCTACTTGAGTCTCCGGTCCACACATGTTACGATTTAATGAGAACACAGCGAGATATTCTCAACATCTCGGGCTGGGGGAAGCCGGACCTCAGATCTAGTGACTTGCGACCGGTGAAATTCAGTTTACCGTTTAATTGACACATTGATACCGAACAACAGATGACACGACGTATCGCCTGAGCTACTTTAATTCTTCCTGCCTGCTGCCGACGGTGTCTTTCGCGCCTGTCAGGAAGTACGTCAAGTCGGATGTGCCGATGGAAGGTTGCACGACGTACAGGCTCAGCTATTGGCCGAACGAAGCTCCCGTGAAAGTGAGTGTCTCGAGCAGCGAGAGTCATGAAGATAATCAGTCCGTTTCTAAGAGTCTATCATAATTTATGACTATTTCAAGTGACTTCGAACTTTATATATTTAATATCCTCGTATATATCACTACTCTCCTTTCGCTCATAGCAGCTTTATCGACGCAATTTAACAAATTACGTTTATTAGGATTATTTATAAACCTGTAGTATACATGTGCGAGATATTTTCCTTTAGGAGGAACAGCCGTGGAGTCAGAAAGCCGAGTACTGCTGTCCGGTGACACCGATGGATGGCTGCACGACTTACAAGCTGAGCTACTGGCCGCACTGCGAGAAACGTCGCGAGCCCATCCGCGCGCAGAGCTACGAGAACATGCTGAACGCCAGCTGCTGCTTCGACGACAACACCACGTACCGGCTCAGCTATTTCGGGTGTGGCGGTGACAAGCCGCCGGATCCCATTCGCCAGACGAGCAACATGGTCTTCTCGTCGTGTCCGCTCTCTCATGACACCGTGAATCGAGTGAGCAGACGCGGGATAGCACCACCTTGGTGTGCGGCCTGATCCGAAGACGGCAGGCAGGCTAATTTGGTTCGATCGGTCGCATCGTCGAGTGACATTCCGCGATGGTTACGAGAGATCATTTTCTCAAATTGCCTAACACGATCGTTGCGTCGCAACGCGCGGATTCACTTCGACGACGCTCGTCGAGTAATTGTGATGCCGTTGTAAAGAAACGGTAGCCGCAAATGTTTCACTATTTGGGTAAAAATTGCACCTCATGGGTATCTAGCCACGAGACAGCAAATTTCTGTCCAATTAATTCGAATTTTTTCGACAGCTTGCTAGCAGAAATATAACAGGATTTGTTAGCAGAGTATGATAACAGATTAATTTATCATCAGGTTCTGCTAGTAAGCTGTCGAAAAAATGTACAGCAGATATTATGTAAAATCTGCTTTTGCAGGTTTGATTGTCTGACTGACTTCATATTGGGCAACATTCATTTGATGTATCCCCATTAAATACCAATATAACCAATATTGGATCAATGAATCGCCAATAAATTGTGTTACGAGGGACATTTTAATGAATAATTAGCCCGTAACGAAAATATCTCGAGTCGATCCACGGTCAAAACGATCGATCTAACTCCGCGTTTTGCTTGCAGCTGAGCTTCTTAGGAAATTGGCGTGCTAAGCCGGAGTCGTCCATTGTCCCCTGCACCAGGCAAATGCTGGGCAATGGTCCGATGCAGGACGTCACCACGCAGAAGCAAGATTACACCTGGAAGTGCACGAAGCCATCGATGGAACAGCGACCCGAGAACAACCTCGTCTTCTCGTCCTTGCCGTTGGAAAGTAAATGCACAGCCGCGAAGTAGCCGTTACGACAAATTAGCAGGACTTACGTTTCGCCCATTCACACTTATTATATCTTACAACTGCTGTCATTTCTTGCGTGAAAGGCAAAATCAATCTGAGTCCGATGAAACTACTCGTGTCTCTCTGTAATCTAAACGCGGAGACGACGAAATAATGATAAAATGATAAGATCACATGATGTTTCAAGGTCTGACATTTTCCATGGTGTGGGAAACCGCTCGGTTTGGTTTTCTTCGCGGCTCGGCACCCTTCATGAATCTGTTTCCGATGTCTCGTGAACATTTCTTCAGCTCACTTCTTCGAGAAGAAGAAAATCCGTCAGTTTCGGACTGTTTCTTCTCCCGGACAAGTGAGCCGAAATATTCACGAAACGTCGGGAATGAGTGACAAAGTTATTTTGGTGTCGTTGAAAAAAAATGTCGGGAGCCGCTTGTTCGAGCCACTGAACGAGAAATGCTCATTTTCCGCATACGATGATCGCAGGTTGCACGACTCATCGGTTGTCCTACATACCGAACGACTTCGCGTCTCTAACTCCCCAAAAAACGTACGCACCCCTACGCAAGTACCAGCAGTCGAACATCCCGATGGAGTCTGAGACTACGATGCGGCTGAGTTACCAACCCGTGGAGGCGGATCAGGTCGAGAAGCCATGGTCCGTGTCTCCGTCCTATTACCCGCCCGTGAATCCCGTGGAGGACAACACTACGTACAATCTGAGGTTCGGTTTGCAATCTATTAGATGTACAAATTAATTCGGTGCTCTTCTTCGTGAAATTCAAAATTTATTTGCGAAAAGTCAAGTACAAGTTTAATGTTTGAAATCATTCCCATTATTCTCTACGACTTTACACCGTCTATCGGGTAGCTGATGAACGCCCTCGTGAACAAAACTTGGCGGTTTTGACTCGATAAAGTCATCAATGCTTTCTCGGGCCTCGTCAACTGTTTTAAAATGCGTATTCGCCAGATGATGTTGAAGCGACCGAAATAGGTAGTGATCCGATGGGGCTGGATCTGGCGAATAAGCCGCATGAAAGAGAATTTTCCAGCCCAATGTACAGATAAGATCCTTCGTCCCTTTTGCGGTATGTAGCCGTACGTTATCATGTCTCAGAATCACCTTCCTAGTTCCATTGTCGGTAAAAGATCTTATAAGTTTTATGAGTCACAGCACTTTCACCCAAAGCGGAACAAATCATTTCGATAGACTGAGCAGCATTTTTATTCATTTGGAGTGCAAGAAGGATGCAGTGCCTCAGATGCTTCTTTTCGAGTAACATCGTGATAATTACTGTTTTCTGAGATTATATCGGCAAGCCCGTCAACTATTATAGTGTCTCTTAAAGCTTAAAGTTGGCACTTTCGAATCACCATATAGGACGGGAAAAAATTCTAAATTTGAACTAGAGTTGCAGGACATTAAATACAAAGGCACCGAATTAATTTGTACACCTAATCTACTTTTGGGAACCCCGAAACTTTACGAGACATATTTTTCTTTTCGCCAGCTACATTCCGCCAGGAACACTCGTCCCGCTCTGTCCCACCGTGTGTCCCTCTGCGAATACCTGTGAAAGTAATTTATTCAAAATGTCTCTCTCTCTCTCTTATTTGTCTATTACTTTCGGAGATAAATCGTACAATCTGTAGGTATATTCTAGTGTCCTCGTCGCAAGCTTGTCCCACGTCGCGAAGAAAACAAAAGTACAAGTTGGTAAGTGAGATCCGCAATAGGAAGAGACGGCTATATCGGAAAATTAATATTTTAATTAATCAAAAGAAGAATTAACGGCCATGAGGAGCCAAAGCACAGATGATTTAATATTAATATTGTTAGTATTATTTTCAGTAATTATGATTTCTTCCTTCGATCGTTTGACCTAGCAATAATTATGAGCAAAATATTATGAGGAATGGCTTCGTAGGATGGCTTTGCTCTTAGTATTATATTTTAATTTCTTTGGCCTTATTATTATTGTCTTTGCGGTTTTCATCTTTCTCTACGTTACGTGCAATTAATTTGTCACTGAAGAGAGTCGAAAAAAGTGACCGAAACCTTTAACTGTCGTAAATTTTATCGTATTCTGGTAAATTGAATCTATTTCTTAAATTAAAAGTTAACCGCACTACCATCAAGGGTTGGTTTTTACTGGCTTTTTTTATTATTTATTTGATTGCATATCATGTGAGAGCCTAATTTATTATTTGTCAGTATTAATATTATTTATGGGAAGGTGAAATTATCCATCGTGAATTGCGAACATATCGAATATTTTCCGAGCAATCGACAGCCTTCCATGAATGAACCGACCCTTAAATTCCAATAATATTGTTATAAATTATAATCTTATGGTCCCAAATCATTTTTTACCTAATTTCTAAGTCAATTAATAAGTAATTTATAACTATATTTATAGCATACACATATTTATCAATATAATTTATATAATATAATTTATCAATATTTAAATGAGGCACTAAATCACTCGTATTTTGGCTCCTCATGGCCGCTAATTCTTCCTTTGGTTAAACCAAATAAAGAGCATCTTAATTTAATATTTTAATTATTACATATTTATTTTCATGACGTGTACTTTGCCCTTGCAACCCGCAAGTCTCGTTGTTCAAGTATGTACATGTGAAGATGCCTGTGACGTCCGTCATGTATCTTGTCCTACCAATAAAGTATTCCTTCGTAGCTCGCACGTGATTTCTTGCGCTTGATTTCTTAATAGCGCGTTTAATTAATCCCTCTCGCCTAAAACCGACGAAACGACCGGCGTGATTTCGCAATCATACGTTTATTACGATTACCGCGACGATCACGTGCGACCGGTCCCGATGTGAAACTTGACTTTTCACATGGCCGGCGCGTCGCATAATATAGAAATAATAATTACACACATACATACACAGAGAACGGCGCGTTCAATGCATTCTTCGTAACAATATAACGACGATCCCAACTAACGTAACGACTACATGACGCTCGCACGCCGTGCGAGCCGTCACAATCGTCGGGCCGATCGATTATCGCGCGCGATTCTCGTGATTCTCGCGCTCCTCCTGCGCGCGAATTTCAGTATGACGCGCCGGTATCATCGTCACGTTTACATCACCGCTGACATTCTGCGGTAATCGATGATCAGCTTATTCGCGTTTCTTCCGCGAGACGGTACGTTCCAGCCTCTGGAAGAAGAGTCGCTTCTTGTGCGAAAAGCCGCCTCGTAACGCTACCGCCGCCGGGAGGTAACATCAGACATGTAACACCGAGGAGAGTCAGGATTCTCTCTCTCTCTCTCTCTCTCTCTCTCTCTGGACGTAAGAATGCGAATTTTACGTAGCGTCGGAAGTCAACGGCTCTCTCCTCTCCTCGTGACGGGAGTCCGCGTGAAAGTAGTTAGCATATCTATTAGTTTGCGCAACGATCCCGGGGGTTGTCTTCCTAACATCCAAATGCCTTCCTTCGATCGGCACGAAGAAAACTCGACGAGGATCCGCCGAGAACGAAGGAAGGAATCAGCCGAGGAGAGGAAAAAGCGGAAGAGCATTTGTGAGCTTTTCATTCTGCGTGCAAACACGCGTTGCCGAGATAGATAAACGATCAAGAACATCTTCATAACAGCTTCATTAGAGAACGAACGCATGCGAATTGCGCAACCAGCGCGACCAGCCGCTTCGGAGAATTGGGTAATATGTAACGTTATGTCGTTCACGTTTCTTGGAACTTCCAGGATGACGGTGAACTTTTCCATTTCAATTGTTAATTTATGCGCGTTACGAATTCGAACGTCTCTCTCTGCTTTCACCGATTTTTATCTCGCTGAGATGTCGATTAGTCGAGAGCGTTTATCCCAGGTGTCCAGGATATTTTCTCAAGAACGACGCAGAAATTTATTCGCAAAATTCGCCTTACGTATCACAAGGATCGGCCGTAGAGTTGGGCAATACCGTATCGATATTGTATCGCTTAACTTTAACGGCCATGAACGGTATCCTTTTAAGTTTGAATCAATGAAAATGCTACTAATTGAAACAATGAAACGATATCCCGAGAAAAAAAGATTATATATGAAATTTGCCCATATATGACTATAATCATATATGTCCACGATGAAAAGGAAAAAAGTTGGTTACAAATTATATGAAAATCAAAGTAAACGCTTTTGGCTACTTGTACTTCCGACAGCATATGATATCGACATTTAATTAAATGTCATTAAAACATAACATCTTTTTTTTTCGTAAAGACGTATATGATCATATGTATAATCACATATATGGGCAAAATTCATATATGATTTTATGTAATTATATATAATCACATATAATCATTCGTTCCCGGGATTTTACCGATGATTAGTGAGTATTCACTAATTTTTAATGGAAACTCTTCCGTTTAGCTCGTTTGTTTGATACTTCACTGATTTCGGCCGGTGAAAGATTCATTGTAAGTTGCTGTCACACGTCCCGTGGCAAAAATATATGTACATATTATATATACATTCAACTATATGGCGTAATTCGTATGAAAGAGTCTCAAGAGCCAGAGATTTCGAGTTTCATCATGATAAATATTAGGTACCGGAAAAAGTTCGTGCGATTTCCTTCTTAGCAATGAATTGAAGTCGGATCTCAGTCAATAACTCGCACGTGTAATACATGAAGTTGGTATCAACGGAAAGTTACATTTATATCGTTGGTATACATGATGTGCAGCTTTCAATTGTTTCAACATTCCGTTGTTTTCGTGAAGATGGATAACAAAAAGTTGAAAACTGGCGCATTCTTGCTTTATGAGGTAAAACGCATTTGTAATGTGTGTGGTGAAAAGGCACTGTTAGCGAAAAGATAGCACAAAAACGGTTTAAGCTGTTTAAGGAAGGTAATCGCTAGAGGATGAGCCGCGTTCGGGACGTCCATCTGTTATTGAAGATGATGAATTGCGCGGATACGTGCGTTCAAACCCGCGAAAAAAATGTATGGACGTGGAAAAGGGTCATCGAAGTCAACGGTAACTACTTCGTCAAATAAAACTACTTCTCAAAAAAGTTCAGAGCGTTTCAGTTTCACTTAAGAATGCGCACAAACTTTTTCCGGCACCTAATATATTCTTCAAATACGATATAAATGAAATCGGTTGAACATAATTTAGAATGTATCAAACAAAATCATTGACAATATTTTAAGAATGATGTTGAGATAATAAAAAAGAAGTAAGAAGTAAGAAATAATGTTTTCTCTCATTGTTTCTGCAGTGGGATTTCTCCATATGGAAACAGTTGGTGCCATTAATAGGCTGTTGCAGCGAAATTTTGCCGATTTGTGATGCTATTACTATTATAATAATGGACCGCCAGCGACTACTGGCTGCTTCTCAATGATAATACACTGGTTGCACTTTAGAGAGAGTAAATTAAATTGAGCGAAGCTCGATCGCCGATCGCTCTCGAAATTGCGGCAATCGCAAATTCTCGCACGAGAATTTGCGTCGCTCCGAGCGCGCGCCAAGTTTTCTCGATTTTCTCGATAAAAGCAGAAAGAAAGTCGCGGGAGTAGCGATCCGAAGGCCGCCGCGCGAGAACAAGCGCGCATTGCGCTAATCGGAAGCGCAGTCCCAGGCCGTTGATCGTGGGCTGTTGCGACGGCATTATTACGCGCATTCTGATGCATATGTAAGTATGCATATTAGAGTGTGTTCTTCTCGCCCATTGTCTTGCTGGTCTCATAATCCGCGAAACTACGAAACCGTCGGCGGACCGAAAACGCGATGTCTGCTACCCACGGCACCGACGGAAGCGGCGTTACACGGCGCAAGCGAATCACCTGCGATGTGTGCGACGCGAGGAAAAGAATTACTTACTACTCTCTTCGATATCAATCATATTCGAAAACGACGCACGAGACGATCTCGCTAAGCGAGATCTCGGCCGTATGAACGATCTTCTCTCTCTGTCTCTTTCGCATAAAGCGCGCGATCTTTTCTCTCGTGTGTGATAAATCTTTCCAAAGATTCCGAGTACATCGAGTATACACTGCGAAAAAAAAATTCCTTCGAATTTAATAAATTTTCATCGCATCCGAACAGATTTTATCAATGGCGCGCTCCAAAGAAACGAATGTTTCGATCAATAAGTACGATTGTTAGACTGTTCAACGAATGTGTAGCTTTATCTTAAATAAAAAATTTGTTTGAAGCGGAAGATAATTTTCTTACAAAGAAATTATTTGCTTCATTTTACGTATTTATTGTAATTAAATAATATTTTATTCGGTTAAAGGATGTTATTTCAGATAATAGCGTTCTTTCTAAATATAAATAAGAGAATTCTGAGACGATAAAACTTTTGCTCAAACAAATAATATTTCGTATAAGTACACGTTGTTTCTATGAAGCAAATTTTAATCAAATACGATAAGTAGAAATGCCAAATTAAAGAAACCCTTGTCTCTGCGTTCGAAAGAGCGAATGACGCGGTTTCTTCGTTTTACCGCGGATAATAATTCTTCGGCCGAGTGGTTCGATATTGCAATATCGGTAAGTGAGGACAAGCGGGCGTCGGACACGTGTCGAACGACGAAAGGATCCGTTGAATCGATTCGACGGAGGTTTCGTCGCGGTTCCGCGTTGCGGGATCGAACGGAGCGCGACGCGCTCGTATTGCGTTCTCGCGAATAATAGGGCTCATTAGAAAGCCATCGGCAACGGCGTCGCCGGCGATGGTCGTTTCAAACCAAGAGTAAGGTCGTCCCGGGCGGTGAGATAATCGGAGCAAGACGCTTCTCGGTACCGTGATCTTAGGGAGGTCTCGTCACACGACCGCTCACGAAGGAAGCGGCCGATCCCACACATGCAGTACACACACACGGCGGATATGTAGGCTCTCCTCGCCATAAAACATAGCGGAGGCTTCTCTCGCGCCTCCTCCGAGTAGGGGTAAAGTGAGAGTCGGTATAAAAGGGGATTTCTTTCCTCTCCCGGGATCGCAGTCGATCTCGCTCGTTTGCGGCTATCTCTCCGTGCACGTTTTGCGTTTTGGTTGGTATCGAGTCGAGCCGAGGTGCACGTTTCCGTGAGCCAGGATGAAGTACGTGGTGAGTAAGTCCGAGGGCCCCCCCGACGCGACCCCCTTCTTCCTCAGGGTCGTCGTCGTCGTCGAAGAAACAACGCGCGTCTGTTTTCTCCTCGATCATTCTCCACGGAAGGAAGAAATTAGCTGTCCATATAATACGACTGAAATTTCGTTACCAAACCTGATTTCTGGATGCGGGAGCTAAACTGAATACAGGGATAAAAAGAATTGGCTAAATTAACAAAGTTTCAGTTGTACTACGCAGACAGCTGATTTTTGTCTACGCGAGCCAGTTTTTAACTGTGGGAGCTGGTTTTTAGTTTTTTTTTTTCCATGTTGCTCGCACGTCTACCGCGTCGCCGATTTTAATGAAGCGATGTAACGATAAGCGATCGGACCGACGGTTGGACGGAAGCTAATTTATTTATTTATTCGACGCTCGCAATTTTGATCTTAAGGTCCGTATTGATAATTGTTACTTGAAACCTGTCTCAAGTGAGTCTCAAGTACTTAGTCTTAAATTCAAAGTTAGAGTTGTGAGTTTCTCGGTTGAATAGCGTTTACGTAACGTCTAATATATCGCACGATTCAATTGAGAAGCTTTATCTGACTTTGAATGAAAATCCTGTAGTATCTGAGCATGAGACGAGCTTCAAGTGACAACTATTAATACAGACCTGACAGGAGAAAATACGGAGATCTATTTAGGTAGAATGACATCAATTGATTTGCCAACTTGACAGAAAGCTTATCGGACAGTTGAAAGATGAATTGTCCGACTCGGAGGATGTGACAGCTAAATGCGCACATGATGATCCAAGATCCCGAGGAATCCGATAGCATTGTCGTTAACACGATTGCGGCAAGCGGCGTTAATTTGCATGCCCGAGAAGACGCATCGTCCGAACGGCGGCGAAAGTAGAGAATTGCGTGGGACGATAGTCTCGGGGATTTACATAATCTGAAGAACAATATAAATCTCGAAGGATTACTTCGAGCCGCCTCTTCGAGCGCGTTTCACACGTATCGAACTTTCTTTTAAGTGTTAACGAGAAACTGTCCCCATCCTCACATCCGTTGTTACTCGGAGAAATCGCAGTCGGGACGGAGTTTCAGGGTACCGTTGTCGACCTGAGATAAATATTTTCCGGTCGCGAATTACACGGGGAGAACAGATTTTGCTGGGACAGCAAATGCTTGTCAATATAGTGACAGTAAAAAAAATTTGTTTCGACAGCAGGAAGATTTGTTAAGAATATTAATCGCTATTTGCTGGATATACGGACAATTGATACTCTTAACAAATCTTCTGCTGTGCAAACGAATTTTTTTTACTGTTACTATCATCGACAAACATTTGTCGTTGTAGCAAAATTTCTTTCCTCCGCGCGAATCGGGTAAATCGCTTCGACGAGGGGGAAATCGAAACGGGACGAGTAATGCGATATCGCGATGAGCGCGGTAGAGGATGGGCCGGAGGACGAAACGGGACGGGCGCCGCGGAGTTTACGGGTCAGGAGTTAAACGACCCGCGTTGGCATTTGCTGCTTCTCACTTTCACTCATCTGCCGAGAGCGCATCGCCCGATATTCTCGTGGCGGAGAGAAGCCAATAAATCCACTTTGGGATCCACCTCGCTCTTCCGCGTCCACTCTCGTCTCGTCTTCGGACGGACGGCCGATCCGGTTTCGCGACGCCTTCGTTAGAAAGGGGGCGAACCGACCACTGACGCAACCTGCAAGCTCATGATATAACGTGCCCGCTTAATGACACAATTGCGCCGAGATCGCGTTGCGCTGAGTTCGAAGAGATTTTCCCGGAGCGCGTCACTGGTCGCGTCGAAATTCTAGTCCTGTGTTAAACCTTTGATTCTACAACACAGTAGAAGATAAGATGGTAAAACAGGTTCAATTTCAATTCTAATGATATAATATAATCCCTACTTTGATCACTATGATGATGTCTTAAATTTCCGTTTTCGCTGTTTTAACATTAAAATAGGATGATGAGGGTAGCGTTAAAATTCTGTAGAATTAAATGTTCGAAAAAGAAGTGAAAAAATATCGATATCGTCAAAACAGGTTTCCATTAGTTTGTAGGCCGTCTAAGTAGGCGCCAACTATCCTTGAGAACGTCAGAGTAGCATCAGAATTTCGTTCCGGGCAGTCGAGTCGACCATAAACGGTACAAATACCGGCAATGGCACTTCCTAACGATATTCTCGCTATTTCCCCAGGTGGTAGCGATGATTCTCGGCCTGGCGGTGGCACAGGAGCCGAATTATCACGGACGCAACAACTATCAGCAGGACGAAGGGCAACACGCGACTGACAGCAGGCGGCCCGCGTCCACTACGCCCATCCCAATCCTCCACTGGAACAAGCAGCAGGAGCACGACGGGACCTACAAGACTAGGTATTTTATTCCCCGTTATTCCGTTCCAAACGATCGTTCTCTGAAAATATTCAAACATCGTTGCACGAACTGTGACGTAAGGAGGTTTTCTATTATTCTCGAGAATGCGCAGTCGTCTTACGTGGTGGCTGCTCTTTTCGACATATCTAAAGTTTATCCTAAATTGTAAAAGAGCAACATGACTGCTAAGAACGATGTGCACTTAGATTACCTTTTAACACGGAGAAAACAAATTTTGCTGGGACAGCAAATGTTTGTCGATATAGTGACAGCAAAGAAGAAATTTGTTTAGACAGCAAAAAATTTCTTTGGACAGCAGAGAGATTTGTTAAGAGTATTAATTGACCATATACTCAGCAAATAGCAATTAATACTCTTAACAAATCTTTCTGCTGTTCAAACAAATTTTTTACTGTCTAAATAAATTTCTTCTTTGCTGTCACTATATCGACAAACATTTGCTGTCCCAACAAAATCTGTTTTCTCCGTGTGCTACGCTAAATAATCTCTTTTTCTTCGTAAATACAAATTATCATTATTATTATTATTGCTATCTGGGTAAAGCCGAGTAGTTATCTGCAAAGGAAAATCGTTTCGGCCACGCCGTTATTGATCGCGTGATCGCGCAAAAGAAATTTCGTCAGCGCTCTCGGACCGCTCAGTTCTCCTGGCACGGGAGGCGTAGTCGCGTCATGTTCGTCACGTCACGTTCGTCCGGCGATCCGCACCGTAATGCGGTTCCGAAAGTGCCGAAATTGCGTGACGTCCGTCGGCGTCGCCGCGAGAACCCGTCGTGCGAACTTCGCCGGAGCGCTCGGGCGGTGTTAGCGTTGTGTAATCGCGACCGGGTGTTGTTCCGCGCGCGGTGTGTCGCGTTTGCGCAATCCGATTATTTAACACCCCGGCGACGGTCGTCGTCGTCGGTGTCCCGCAGTTACGAAACGGGCAACAACATCATCGCCGAGGAGAGCGGCTACATCAAGACCATCGGCGAAGGTGAGGACCGGGCGGAGGCGATCGTGCAGCAGGGCACCTTCTCGTACACGTCTCCCGAGGGACAGCTGATCACCATCACCTATACCGCCGACGAGACCGGCTTTCACGCTCAGGGCGATCACATTCCCACGCCGCCCCCCGTCAGCGAGGAGATCCAGAAAGGCCTCGACCTCATCTACGCGGGCATTCGTCAGCAAGAGGTACGTGCCTCGACCTTTCCTCTTCCGTCTAACTCCTCCCCACCTTCCCACCCTTCCCGGGCCTATCGCCGAGACCCGAAGAACCCGTCGAAGACGCTTTCTACGTTTGTCTCGCGTGTGAACCGCCGATGAAAGTCCATGACACGCGATTCGGTGTTAATGCATTTCTGATTAAAGCGATTTCAACAAGCTTGATCCATAAACGCAAGACCATCAACGGTCAAATTTAAAGGTCCGTCGATTCGTGCGCTTTATCTTTATTATTTTTTATTCGCTCGAAAGTTCGTACGAAGCGAACGGGACGTGCGGAGAAGGGAATGTCGGAGCGCATATATCTTTAGGTATTTTTAAGGTATGAAATTACTCGAAGCAGACTCATTCAAGCTTTACTCGAGACGGTATGATAACGTCGGCGGTTTAACGACGCGTTGTTTAAAGTCCATTCATGGTCTTCCTATCCTCGTTTATCCCCACCCGCTCCTATCTCGCCGTTTCTTATCATCACCATCGTCCAAGTGTACTCGTGTATTCACCTTTGTGGAAGACGTTCTCCGTCCGCGATCTCGCGGGAAGGCTTCTGTTTCGTCATTTGTGCCTATTGCATAGGTCAACGGTTTCCAAGCGGGCTTTGCGAAAAGCCACTCAGTTAACCGTTGCGTCGGCCCGCAAACGTGTTTGCGAAATCGTGATAACAATCGATATCGAAAGCAAAGGCTAAAACCCGCTCTCGACTATGAATGACTCGGCATGAGGAAAGAGAGGAAGGGGGGGGGGAGAGTACAAGAGCTACCTGCTATCGCGCGCAGCCTCCTTTCGAGTCTCATTAATCATCTTGTCGTTGTAAACGAGCGGTAAGCTACTAGTTTTCCTTCTGCTTTTACTATTACTCGGGGTAGAAAACGACGATCTCGCGTTCGAACGAAAGCATAACATAGACGGGATCCGCGGGAGATCAGCCCGTGAAATTAAAGTCTTATGGGCCGTGATGGCTTTGTGGACCGTGATAATTAACACGCGTTATCGAACGCATTTGTATCTCTCAGCCGTATCATATTTTACGTTATCGTTATCGGAACAACGAGGTGTTGGAACAACGAGGAGCCTTCAAACCGGGTCGTAGGTCGAGCGGAAGGATGAGTGTTCATGGAAAAAATAATTTCGCTGGTTTAATAACAAATTGTTAGTTACTACAGGGACAACAGGAAAATTTGTCACGTGAAAAAAATAATTTGGCTGTTGTAGTAAAACCGTTGTGCGACAAAATTTACTTAATTTTAATGTAAATTTTTAATTAAATTTATTTATTAATACGATTTTATTTAAATTAAATAAATTAAATTTAAAATTTAGGTTACAGCGATAACATTTAGTTGGCGTAACCAAATTATTTTCCTGTCTATATATCTAGCAAATAACAATTAATTTTCTTAACAAATCTCCTTGCTGTCGGAAACAAATTTTTTTCTTGCCCCTATAATAACTAACAATTTGCTGTATCAGCGAAATATTTTTCTCCGCGTTGAAGATGAAAGTGTCAAAAGCTTCTGAAAGCACACCCGATCATTTCTTGTGAGGACACCAACGGAAATCATCAGCATTTCTCCCTGTCAAAAATATTCCGTCTGATTTCCCGAGATGCATCCTCTCTTCTTGGCAGATTATCCCTCTTCATTTCTGACTTGATCTCTTCGTCCCTTCTCTCGAAACCAACTCTCTACGTCTCTCTCTATATCTTCTTTCCAACGAGGTTTCTCTTCCCATCTGCTCTCACCTGAAACTAATTATCTCGAGATAAAGCAATTTAACAAGAGCAGTGCCTAGAAGTCTGGGGATTCCACGCGTTCATGTTTCAGGAGGAAGACGCCCGCGCCGCGGCCCAGAAGCCTCAGCAGCCGTTGAACCAGCAGGTCGACAGGCGGGATGACTACGACAGGAAGTACCGACAGTGAGCGCACGCACTGCCTGTGCTCCATCAATACATATCCGCAGCACTGTATCGTACTTATTAAGAAGTAGCAACTAAGTTGTTAAGTTACGTTACCCCTCTCGCTCCAAATACACTCTCCATTGTATGTACATTTTGTAGTGAGAGACATCGAGATTCCAAGTAGACCGTTCCTCCGCTCCGCACCGCACCTCGATCACGTCGATTCTTTCCCAACGTGAGATCCTGGCATTCCCGTATGCACCATTAATGATTAATCTCTCTCTCTTTCTCTCTCTCTCTCTCTCTCCTTCCCTCCTTCTGCGGTGGCATCGATATCGCCGCCGCCACCGCGGCGTAATTACACTCCTCGAGTGCTGGGAACTGACATTTCTCGTTGTGTCGCGATGGAAGAAGAATGTCACGGGGCTGACCTCCTGCTGGCGAACTGACCCGCTCATCGATCGTTCCTACGTTCATTCATGCCACCTCGTATTTTTGCCACCTCGCAGTGGGAACATTCGTCTGTGTCTTACGTGAAAATTTGGACTTGGTGCGTTCGACGCTTTTCACAGACTCGCACGCACCACCGTTCGCGATCGAGATTAGCGTTTTTCCGAACACACTTTCACTCGACGCCTCGGCACGGCGTCTCCTTCTGCGCTGTAATTTATTCGGCATCCAATCTGATTTTTATCTCTAGAGATTGTAATAAAAAAATATATGTATGTATATCCGTGAAAGCATCAAACGTAATTTCGAAGTGTTTCTCCGGAATAAATGCATATCGATAAGTGCTACGTAGTTCGAAGGTAAAAACAGAAAAACGGGAGTCGGAATTAAACGAAAGCAGAGGGAGTCAGATGATTCGTTTCTCTCTCTCTCTCTTTTTTTTTTCAGCGAACAGATCTCGGCTCGCTGCCGAACTATATCGCGCGTATCTATGCACCCTGAGAAAAAAATTTTTTCAAATATAACGAATTTTATCGCATCCAAACGAATTTCATCATTGGCATGCTCCCAAGAAACTAACGTTTCGATTAATAAATACGATCGTTAGACTTTTCAACGGATCTTTATTTTAAATAAAAAATATGTTTGAAACAATAGATCATTTTCTTACAAAGAAATTATTTGTTTCATTTTACATATTTATCGTAACCAAATAATATTCTATTTGGTTACAAGATATTATTTTCAAGTAATGGCGTTCTTTCCGTTAAATAATCGAGTTCTCTCGAATGAGACAATAAAATTTCTACTTTAAACAAATAATGTTTCGTATATGCTGTTTCTGTGAAACAAATTTTAGTCAAATAAATGGAAATGCTAAATTTAAAGAAACCTTTCTCTCTATGCACTTACGGGCGTGCGAACGCGTGTTCTCATGCGTGTATGAATTTATACACGGGCATGCAGAATGCCTCGCTGAATCCTCCGCGGGATGAACAGGAACATCACGTCGCGCGACCCGAAAGCATCCATGCGCGATTGACCTGGCGTGCGGGAGGCGACGAAGGGAAATATAGGATGACGCACGTCTGACGGAGCGAAGCATCTTTATTTACTGTTAGTTTCATGTATACATATATACACACGCACAAATCTATAAAGGGCGTCAATCTTCGTGCTCAGAAAGGAGAGAAAGAGTCGGCGTGCCCCGAGGCCGGTGAAACTTTTCACGAGGTAGCGCGTCAAGGCCGGCGAAACTTTAAATGGGGAGTATGATAATCGGATAAACGGCTGCCGATGCTCTCTTGGATGCACTGCGACGCGCTGCCGTTACAATTATATGTGATGCGAGAGAGAGAGAGAGAGAGAGAGAAAGTGCTCTGTGGTTGCGCCGCACGACCTCGCGGAACACCTTCCTCGCGATCAAATGCGGACTGCGAGTAAAGAGTGTCTTGACAAAATAATCATGTAAAACGATTGTTCCGAGATAATGACGAGACGCGCATAAACCTGTGAAGACAAGAATAAATCCTTGAAATAAATTTCGGGCCAATTCTTAAGGACGATGTCATATTACTGATCGACATGAAGACCCGATGAGAAAACAAACTACCGAAGAAATGAACTACCGACGTCAAACCAAAGTCGAAACAATCGAAATTACGTCGAATCGAAGTCAACTTGATGTTCATTTCTTATGTTCTTTTCTCGCTGGGGAGGCAAAGATATCGAGAGAATGGCAGAATTAGTGTAATACCGAATAGAATCCTTCGATATCCTGGAGTCTAGGATTTTCATTTTGCGCATATCACAGCAGGAAGCTGTTCGGCATTTTGCTGAGAAAGAGAACCAGTTTAGTTCATTTTGCTTCCGTTTTGTAGCCTGTCCGACATGATCCGTTAACACAGCAATCTGATTAATTTTCTCCATCCGCTAAGTGGAATATATACAGAAATTACATACTGCGGAAACGAGCCGGACGTCACTAAAAATATTGAACATTTCAGACCCACGTCAACACTTAGAGTTGATCTGACATAGATATGTGCAAGTGCTTCTGGCAAAAAATTAATATCAATTCAAGACTCATATTTTCATGTATAAGAGCAAAAATATATAATCTTATATAGAGATAAAATTTTTCTACATAAAGAAATGCAATTTGAAAATATTATTATTCTTGTCGTTCAAGAATAATTTGCACAAATTGTGAGAAAGAATATTGGATACAAAAAACGATATCTTCAAACTAATATAATTCTTAGCTTGAAGATATAATTTTTCTCTCGATTCATAAAAATTATTCTTAAATAACATGAATATGTACATTCGTGACGGAACATGTAAAATTTCTTCATGCAAGAACAAAAGTTTTATCTTCATATAAAATTCCACGCAACACACACAAGAGCTAAGAAGTGTCTCAAAGTCTCATTGTCAGAAAAAGTTTCCTTACGACGTGTTAAGACGTCTTAATGTTTCCCGGAATTATATATTTTTGCTAATATACAAGAATATATGAGAATATAAATCTTGAATTTCGATACTAATTTTTTTTTATTTAGCGACGTGTTGCTCGATAACTTTATATCAAACAAAATCTTGAAAAATTGCACAACCCTCGCTGGCTTCGAGTCTCGCGTGAATTCAAGTCTTTCTTTCTTCCATACGCGCAGTTTGAAGAATCTCAAAGGAACAATTCTCAAAGGAAAATTACACAGATATTTTTATTATTGCTCGACGCTCGGGCGTGAAAACTATCTTAGACACATCACATGATTGACGCTCGACGCGCGGACGATCACGCGCAGCGTCGCTCGCGTTTGTCATACGCGCGCAATAAGTTAAGCGTAAAACGACGTACTACGTAGCCCCGCATTTTCCCGGCTTTTACGCGGACACGACGGTAAAAAGTAATGTCGTTCACAACGGGCGGAGGGGGGAGGGGACGAGCCTTAATCCGAAAATCGCAATTGACTACGCGCGCCGAGCGGAACGGCACGGTTCTCATCGCCATAAAAGAACGGAAAGCGCGCGCGCGGCGTATCCGCTTTTACTTAACAGCCAGCACCATTGTCGCGGTTTGTATAACGAAGTTTTAGCTTAAAGATTAACTAACGCTACGCGGGCCCCCAGTCGTCGTTCGGCACGAGCGGATACCGTCCGGACCGCGAGAAAATTAGCACGGCGAAAAGCGTACGGACGCGCGAAACTAGGAGGCAGCTATAACATTAGCGTCAGCGGAATTCGGCGGTAGAAAGCTGAAATTAGGTTCTCTCCGGATCTGCGAGTTACGCTGAGTCAACCCGCGATGCACGACGACGAGACGACGACGACGTGTGAGGTGCATATTCGCTGTACGTCGCCGCTGTCTTTCGGCGTAAAAACCGGCAACGGGAAGATCTCGAGATGCGATAAATTCGAATAGAAAGTTCCGGTCCACTTCGCAACATGATTTTCACAATCCGCAAGGCGTTCGCACGAGATGCTCCGGCGGCGGTGGAGTGTCGTTACCCGAGTAGAAAAATGTTAGGGAAAAACTGGTTGCTAGACAGAAACTGGACGATTTTTACTGGCTTGAATTGATTAGACAGTAACTTCAGAAATTATCCAAAAAATACCGACTATTATTTCTTAATCAGTTACTTGCCGTAAACTACTTCCAAAAAAATAGTAAGTTAATATTGGACAGTTTTTATCCGGCAAAAAGTCTTAAAATTCTGGCTAGTGTTTTTCGGCCATTTTCTGGCCAGAAACCAGGCAAAATAATAAACAATTGAAATGCCCAAAATTGTATTAAGAATTGCTCCGAAACCGGCTAATTTTGCTATCCAGTTATTGCCTAAGCAAAAATTTCTCAAACTTGTAAATTTTCGGCCGGTAAAACTGGTTACTGGTTGGAAACTGGTTTAATTTCTACTTGGGCAGTAAAGAGAGAGAAGGGAATCCCGCATCGCAGGGTTGACGAAGCCCGATCCGCTCGCGCCAAAGTGCCGACCGTCTTCTATTTTGATTCGGTAAGTGGGAGAATCTCCGATTCTCGTGGTCCCCGATTGATTTCGCCGATGGTGACGCAAAATGGAAACGAAGAGTACACCATGGAGAAACGCAGAAATGACATTAATCGCGCGGACATTTTGTCTTCGCGAAAACCGAAAGCTCGCGCGTTCTGCCACCCGAGTTTGCATCCTGCTGAAGACTCGTGTCGACACGAAGAGTCCTTCTCGTCGCTCGCAATTGCAGCCTTAAACGAGAACAAATACTTTCCTCCCGTTCCTCTCGGGTCACCGGGAAGAAACGCCGACCTTTTAGTTAGAGGAAGCTTGCTACACGCGAGACAATGCGGCGGCCGGGAGTCTATTCGCACGCTTCGAAGATCGCTGACGCAACTGACGGAAAAGTCGGCGTACACGCATTGTCCGATTCGCATTTCTGCGAGAGATTTTTCCCTTTTTCTTTTCCCTCTTCAGGGAAATCCCACCGCGCCTCCCTGGAAAACTATATATGTACACGCACCGGTGTCGGCAACATGGCATCTAACCTGTCGTCCTCGTGATATCCGATCATCTCCTCGCGATAATAACGGAACAAAAGGCGGGGACGATGAATCAGGAAGTCGCCGGGAAGTCATGATCTCTTTGAGATCACGATAGATCGTCGCCGCTGTCCTCTCTCAGCCTCCCTTGATTTTCCCGCCGTCGGGATATCTCTTTCTACGCTCGCCTCGGCGACCACCTGATTCGATCGATTCCCATTCCTCGGCAACACACTCGGGTAATACTGGCGACCGTTGGGTGCGGATGACACAACGGAGTCGTACGTGAGAGAAAATCAGTCGTGGCACTTCAAGAAACTTCGTTAAGCAACGCTGGTCGTCGAGACTTCCCGCCCGCCGAAGAACCTCGTACACGAAACTTGAATTATCGATCTCCGCTCTTTCCCTCTCTCCCTCTTTTCTCAACATCCACACTCTTTTCCTTGACGGGCGGAAAATCGGCGAGCAGAGATTACTCAAGTTGAACATCGACGGACGAGGGTTCGATGGGACGAGCAGCCTCGATCATCGAAATCGTCGAGCCGTCGTCTCGAACCGAGGCCGTCCAGCGTGAAAGCGAAACTGGTGTCGACATATCGGATGACGAGTTCTTCGAGTTCGACAAAACGTGGCGCTACAACCGTGCTGGCGAAGCGATGAACATCGGGTGTACGAAAGATTGGGGTTACGAACTCGTGGAGGCCGGGGAGGCTCTCGAGCCTCGTCTCCGCGACAAGTCGGGCGGCGACGGGTCGTAGGGTATCGCGGCGAAGCCGACGTATCGGTTGTTCTTCTTGTGGAGGAAGCCGCCGGTGTGCGGGTCCGTCTGATAGTAGATCACCCGGCGGATGCCGAAGGGATCGATGTAGCCGAACGAGCCGACGTTGTTGCCGTCCGGCTCGCGTTCCTCCTCGTGGTACTGTCTCTTCAGGTAGTACTGGAAGCCGTTCGCCGTGCTGTACGTGCCGTCGTAAGGCGGCGCGTCGACCGAATCGCTTCGCGATACGGGCGTTCGGTAGCCGCTCCTGACGGGAGGACGCGCGACCGAAGGGTCATAGGGTGCCTCGAGGATCGGAGTCGGTTGCGCCGCGGGTCCGCGGTAGTATGTGGCCTGCGGTCGGTGATGAGTCTCCAGGCTTTGCAGGCCGGTCGAGGAGTAGCCCGGTCGGTTCGAGTAGTAACCGTTGCCGGAAAACGGTCGCGGTCGAATGGTCGTCGGGATGTAATAGCCGGAAGTGATGTCGTTGCCGGACAGCGGCACGACGTCGTTGGGATCCGGTCGTCTGTAAAAGAACGGTGTTGACATGCATTTCTGTATGATACTACGAGAAAGTTGCTGTTGCTTTTACCGCAGCTGGCTCTTATCTAGTGTGCAATGAATGCGCTTTTTGTTGCGACGCGTTATCTTTCACGCAGCGGATGCCATTTCGTAACTGATACTTTTCCTGTTTTTATTAACGCTTAGACTCCGCTCGGTCCCGAGTGTAAAGCCTACGGCTTCGCCCAGGAAAAAGAAAGATCATATATGAAATTTGCCCGTATATGACTATATATAATCGTAAAGGAAAAATCGCATATGTCCATAACGAAAAAAGTACTGTTGTTTACAAATTGTATACAAATACAGTCGAAGTAAACGCTTCCGGTTACTTGTGCCTCTGACAGCGCTTGATATCGACATTTAATCAAATGACATAACATCATTTTTTTCGTATGGACATGTATAATCATATGTGTAACCACATTTACGAGCAAAATTCATATAATTTTATGTAATTATATATAATCATAATCACTTTTTCCCGGGTTTGTACAGAGTCAGAATACAGAAGAAACGTCCGTGCGTTTAATGAAAGAATGACGGTATCTAAGATATAGGTTAAAGGTGTCAATTTCAATTAGGATTAGGAATTATATATAAAACTTCGCCTCTTCGAAGCTTCGAATTTCTCAGCCTTCGACACGTTATATTAGAATAATAAAATTTTGAGGTATGAAAAGTCGAACATTCGGTTATTCGGAAATTCAAACATTTGAATATTCGAAACTTCAAAAACTGGAAAGTATGCGTGCTTGTTTTGTAGGCATAGTAAATGGTATTTACTTGATCTTGAAGTTTATTTTTTTTTTTGCATTGCGTTATGCGGTTATGTATCATGGTAAAATTTGCATTTATTTTAAAATAAAATCAAATGTTAGAAATTAGAAATAGGCAAGTAAGAACCAAGCGCGGTTGTTAGATGCGAATACATATTTTTTTGGAGAATATGTTTGACAATGTGACGACGCACGCGCCGACATTTCATCAGACTTTCAACAAACGCAAGGAATCTCCCTTTCACGTTAAACTGACTCTCCCAATTCTTAATGTTAATAATCTTTTTCTAAACCTATTCATTATAAATCAATTATTTAATTATTACATTTTAATTAATTCTCTGGAATGTTGCGAAAAATGCTGTCTCAGCCAGAGATCGAATCTGGATTTCCCCACTTGCCGGGCGAAACGCCTTAATAATTAGGCTACCGAAGTTTTCGACAGTATTTCTCACAACACAGATGATTATAAATATTGGATCGAAAGTAGTTTCGAAAGTAGGATTAATATTAGTTTTAAAATAAAATTAATAAAATTTATTTTTTTCTTATTTATGCCTTTTTCATTCATTTTGTTTTAGTTACTAACTAGACAAATACAAATCTCAGAAATGAACTAAAGATATTCAAACAACATATATTTATGTCTAAAAGATATCTTTACTTAGGACATTTTAGGACATCTTAATATTATCTGATAGCTCATATTCTCTAATTGCACATTTTGTTATGTTCTCTAAAATTAGTCTTATTCACCGCTTCGATATCCTGAGTCTTCGAATCAAGTTTTAAACTTCGAATAATTCGATTTTGAATCTAAGAATCTTCGAACTTTGCCGTTAAATGTCAACTTATATCGATGTTTTGAAGCTTCGAACATGTCGAATAGTATTTCTAACTTCTATATACTTCCATACGTATTCCATATCTCGTATGTTATCTAATAGGAATATTTTTAACATATTGATGTAACAACAACAACAATGATTATACATGGATTGCTTTTCAAAATATCACGAAAAATATAAGCAAGTTTGATGATTTTATAATAAATATATAATGTTAATTTTTGTTCGTTTCTTTTTACATTATATATTGTATAGATAATATTTTGTTATGTATTTTCTCATTCAATATGTATCTCTATAAGTAGTTTGTAAAATTATTTCTATTTTCCAGTCATTAAAACCGTCACCCAAATGTAAGTGACACGGTAGTCTAAGTAAAATATTAATTTTCCGATTTCAACCGCTTCATACCTGAAAGGATTGGGCGGTCTTCTGGGCCTGGCCAAGACGCCGGTCTGCGCCGGCACTTTCTTCGATTCCGCGACCGCGTCCTGAATAGGTCGGTCCTTACCCACGTAGACCATTTTGGACCTGAAAGGATCCCAGCGATGAGTTCACGTCTAATTATCGTTACGAGATACACGATCTCAGACGCCACCTCAGTATCCGGAATCCCTCGTGGTCCGCAATGTAATCTTTCAGTCGTAAGTATCCGAGAGGGTCCAGCCAGCCCTCAGTGCCGATCACCGTGCCGTCGGCCAGCCTCTTCTCCTTTCTGTATTGCCCGTTCGCCGTTTGAAAGCGGAAAAATCTCTCCGGGCCCTCGTCGGTTTGGATGTGATACTGCGTGTTCGGATTCAGGTTCCAGCCGCTCCTCTGCGCCTCGATCTCGTCCGCGGTCAGGCAGAGCGCCGAAACCTGCAACGTGAATCCCGCTCTCTCTGAAGTCGTTTCCGCGCTGCGAAATTCCACTTGCGCGGCTACACCTCCTTTCCAACTCGCGTTACGCGCTGAAACTTCACGAGAGACTTCTCGCTCAGCCACCGAATATTTCGATGAAATGTGGAATCAATTAACATGCGTTAACCTAAAAATAATCACCTGGAGTCATTTCATACCCCAACGATCAGAAAATGAAGCTCATGTCGCGGATTTTTTTTACTGATCGGGTACCAATATGTATTTTTCATTTGGACATTTAGAAGCCTAACCTGCGCAACAAAAATAGGCTGTGACCCATTTTACTCATAATATAAACTTGTAAAAACACGTCGGGGTTTATTGATTATAATTAACATATATAGTTGACATTAACATTTATTATAAATGAAATGAATATCTTAAACTATATTTTTTATTTAACGTTAAGCTTAAAAAATAACTATATTTTTAAAAATTTATAATTTTTTTTGTTTAGAAATATTTATTATGTTATACATTTATATAATACAATAAAGAAGTATAAAAATAAACCATCTTTTATAATCCTGAATCAATACTAATAACTTTGTATGATGGAGATTTAGCCTTATTTTATATTCTTATAAAATGATTCTTTCAATCTTTTTTAATAATTATTCTTTACGAACCTTTAAATATCTTATTCCATCGAAAATGAGCAATAAAACAACGTTTTTTAAATTGATATCTTCGCTTATTAGAAATACTGTCATAATAAGACACTTGATGTGCTTATTCCAATTTTTAAATATTTTTTTGGTTTTCTCTCATTTTTTTCAAAAAAATAGTGAGTAAATCTACATTTATAATGTCCCTAAATAATAATAAATCACAGAACAATCGATAATATGCTATATATTGTTAATAGTAACGATTTTTAATTGGGGTCTAAATGATCCCAAGTAATGTTTACAAAAAAATAAGGTGACTATTCCCGGGTTAAACATACGGGAACGCGCGGGGAGAGGATCGATTAGAAATTAAGAATATGCGGAAGGTGATTCATTATACTTTCTACGTCCACTTTCAATTTGAAAGCATAATGCGTGCAAGGTGTTGTCCCGGGCGTATCGTTCTGTCGTTGTACGAACATTCGGAACGCGTGTAATATCACCAAGAGGTAGAGGCAAGTACATCAGTCTCTCAGAATTTCACCAAACTCGGAGGCCGGATGAAAGGAACACACACTCTTGGTGTGTCCGGCGCTCGCTACTATCACCGGCTCGTATAATTATCAATTCCAGCTGATACCCGTCGCCGAAGCATGAAGAAAGTGAGAGGCGCTGGTTCAGCCACTATCGCGAGTCGTCCCAGATGCATTCGGCGAGCCGTTTAAGGTTTCGCATAGGGCGTACGCGAGCGAACCTTTTGAGTTAAAAGCGAGGCGACACGCTGCGTCGACGAGCGCCGATGCGCAGTATCGACTAAATTAACAAAATGCCAATTGCAAAATGTTAAGTGGTAAATGCAAAATGCAAGTGTTATTATTTAACTTTATGTAAGTCGAAGTGTGTAAAGAGAAATAAAATGTTAAATGATGAACAAAATATTCAAGTATATATATATATATAAGTATATATATATAAATATTATACTTTAATCTTTTGTTCGTCATTCAAGTATATATATATATATAAGTATATATATATAAATATTATACTTTAATCTTTTGTTCGTCATTTAACATTTTATTTCACTTTACACATTTCGAATGTGTTATGTATTTCGTTATAATGTATCTTAAGAACGTTTCGAAATGCTCGGAAGTGAAAATGCGTTATAATAAGTACCGGTTATTTTATATTGAGTTATTAGCTCCACTGTGTAACAACCGGCTATTAAACACGATGATTCCATAAGTGATCATCGCTGGAATATACTATTTAATAGCGGAGATATTAAGGGGGACCATTATATCTACATTCATAATATTACCTTCTCCTCTACTAAACATTTACTCTTACTCATACTCTTATGACGTACTTGTGATATATTTGTGAAAATATAAACTTGTGAAATATTTTAAATAAATATAAAATTTATTCATATAATATGTACATATTTTCCCTATGTAAGAGTTAAAATATCAAAATGAGTTCAATTTCAATTCTAATAAATGTAATTTACGCGGTCGGGATCCTCGGGCGAACGATTAGTCAGCATGGACCATGTGACTCTTCTCTGCTTTTCTCTCTCCGTTTTATTTTCTTTTTCGTTTGTTTTTTTTCCTAGCAGTAGATACGGCGCGTCGTAGGCGCGGCAACGCGTACTTCGCTCCGTCGGCTGGTCGTAATCATTCCATTTACGGCGCGTTACGAGCCGAGGACGATGATCGTTCCATTTGGAGCGTGGCAGCTCTCGTGGCCGGCTCGAGAGGAGGACGCGCTTCATCTCGCCCGGTGATCTCTCGCTCGTGTTTGATAACACAGGCGGATTCCAACGTCCTCGTCGTCGCCGCGCCCGCTCGCGTTTATACGAGTCACCCGCGGAGAGAAAGAGCTTCGATCGCCGAGAGAAGCCGATTGCACAAATCCCGCGGTTTTCCGCGACGAATTGTCGCGTTCACGGAAGAAGAGCGTTCTTGCTCGTTTACACGTTCGACGCTCGTTCTACCGTGCACGATTTTTATCGCGCTCATGGCCATCTCAAGAGCGAGAGCAGCTTCGACGTGATAAAGAAAGAGACCTCCCGCTCGGATAATTTCTCACGCGAGGAAAATTCGCGCGCGCGCGTTACGTAGCAAGGAGACGTGATCTCTGGTTACGAGGAGGAGACGACTGACGATCAATGACGATCGACGCGATAATAATCGCGATCGATCGACCTTCCACTGCGCGTCGCGCTAATATTTGCATCGTCAGACCGACCAATCAAAGACCGAGACGAGACGAGCAATGTGCATATGCCCGAGTGGAAATATAACACTGATACTTTATGTTTCTGTTATCTAATGTTTACTGATATTAACTCTACTTGGGTACCCTTTTTGTAAAACGGCCAGTTTTGCAACTTCCGATTAACTTAACCGACTGATTAAGTGTCAACCGTGACTGGTTATTTCTGGTCAGTTCTGTGCTAAAAAAAAATTGCGTTCAAGCAATTATTTGCTAAGGAATATTGAAGTAATTTGTTTTATTTGGATTAAGTAAGTGTTACTTAAACGCAGCTTTTTTTTCTTTCAGTGTGCTGCATTCAAGTGATATTTACTTAATTCAAATAAAATAAACTATTTCAATGTTCTTAGCAAATATTTAGTTGAGCGTGGCAATTTTTGTTTTCAGTGTGTTCAATGACAAATACGACTGGTTGATTCCAGTGGAACAATCAGTGGATTAAATTAACCGGAGGTTGTGAAGCTAGCCCTTAAAGATAAGAAAGAAAGTTGAAAGAAGGAAGGTAAAACTGAGTAATTGCTTTTCCAGCATAGAATAATAGAATGGTAACTTTCTGTGTGTAGTGTCACAGAATTAAAAGTTTAACATATAAGGTCAAAATTGCACCTCGGATATCGCTTATATATCGCGCACTTATTGGCGAAGCTCACGCTAAAATAGAATTCTCGCGTGAAACCTCGCGTCTCGATCTTCCTGTCCTTTCCATCGTCATATCATAAAAACCCGAGAACCGTGTATCCCGTGAATCATAATTAGGCGCGTCTTCCCGCGCCTTGGAAGATTTAAAAAGGTAGAAAGTCCGATAAACTCAATTCGCTCGAGTTCGTGGACCACTTCTTACCTCCGTTGTTTAGTCGTTGTATATACGTTACAATGCAGTACACGACAATCCCGCCGACCTCGCCGTGTAGTAACGTAACGTAGTGCCCTCCGCCGTAGTATCTCTCGCTACGGGGAACATTGCGCGCAAACACACACAGTGGTCACGTAAGAGATACTTATCCCTTCTATCGTGGATTTTGCGTGGGATTGACCAAGACCAACTGTGTCCGCCTTGCGTCGGACCATATTAAGAGATGCTGGACCGAGCAAACGTAGGGCAGACATATCGATATTACGCATCAGGCTATTTCGTGCTGGCAGAAAGCAGAAAATAAAGTCAAGTACAAGTTTGATGTTCGAAATAATTTCCATTATTTTCAATGACTTTACTCCATATATCGGGTAACTGATGAATGCTCTCGTGGAAAAAACTTTGACTCAAGTCCTTGTCAACTGTTTTAAAATGTGTATCCGCCAGATGATGCTGAAGCGATCAAAATAGGTGGTATTTCGATAGGGCTGAATCTGGCGAATAAACCACATAAAGAAAAATTTTCCAGTCTAATGTATTGATGAAATCCCTTCGTCTCTTTCGCGATATGTAACCACGCGTCATCGTGCAGCAGAATCATCTAACTAGTCCCATTGCTGGTAAAAAATCTTTTTACAAGTTTTATGGATCACAACACCTTCATCCGAAGCGGAACAAATCATTTCGATAGATTGAGCAGCATTTTTATTAATTTGGAATGCAAGAAGGATGCAGTACCTCACATGCTTTTTTTTAACAACATTAATGTTTTCTGAGGTTATATTGGTTACATCTGAGGTTATTAGGCTGTCAACTATTATAGTGTTTCTTAAAGCTTAAGATTAACTTTTTCAAATCACCATAGGACAGAAAAAAAATTTATATTTAAATCAGAGTTATAGGACATTAAATGCAAAGGCACCGAATTAATTTGTACGCTTAATAATTACGTTGGTAAAAGTGAACTGAATTTTCTGTTGCCCCGGGAATCAAGCAAAAACTCAGTTATAAAGATATCTGTGAGAGGTTTCTTCAGTCAATTGCTCTCAGTTGTCTCATTCGAGTTTTAATGCGGCCGAATTTTCACACGAATGTTCTCAGTCGCGATGACACAGATTTCAGCATTTCTTATCACCGTTTTCACTGATCCCTATTCAGTTGCAGGAATTGTATTTGTGTGTGTAAGTGTGTACATGGGAAAAAATTAATAT